ATCTTTCCGCGATGGAAATCCTTGCTTAGTCAGCATCAAGAAACAAGTAGTAGCGCTGCATCGTAATAATTTATGCTTGTCTGACGTGTAAGTGGAATTCTACACAAATATGTGCATATTAAAATAGAATATACAAACAATATATTCAGAGATAAATACCATAAATACAAACAAATATTTGCGTGTATAAAAAAATTACACGCGCCTATATGTTTGTAACTGTAAATGTGCGATTTGTTTCGCTCGTCTGCAGCGACTATCATTTGGAGGATGAGTAAAGATGTGTTTCCTGCCTAAATCATTATATATCTACGATTCAACGCGTGTTCGCGTATAAACACGATCGTCTCATTTATTGTCAAATCGACGTGACACGTGTATTGAACCTTATGTCATACGTACCTATATACATACAAGGTTTCGTGTGACGAGAATGCGCTGCCGTGACGTGCGTGTTGGTCACTGCACTTCCGGTCAGGACGCAATGCATAATGTGTCTTGCATTTTGCGTACACGCAATACCGCGCCTGGCGATATATATGTATCTCCGTCTGTAAAAATGAGAAATTAGAATTTCTAACAGACGTATAATTTGCAAATAATAAAATTAAAATGTAAAACAAAAGCTCACATTATCAAAGTATTATCACAGAAAAAAGAAGTGTCAAATCAACACTTAACAATCTATCTATAATCTTCTTATAAGAATTTGCTAAATCTTAAATTTCAACAATATAAAAAATATATTATTTTATATAAAAATATGTTATTTTCTATCCAATATTTTTTCTTTTCCATTCAAAAAAATTATGCTTAAATAATAAGACTATAATATATTTTTGTTAATTAAACTACATATATAAAATACGTTCATTGAAGCAAATTTTCACTAAGAAAAATATTGCTAAAATTTAAAATTATTGCGTATACAGGGTGTCTCAGAATTAGCAATAAACCTATTATCCAAATAAACCTGGGATTATTTAGACACGATTTTTCCTCAGCAAAAATGTCAAAGCACCAATCATTTTTGAGTTACAAGCAATTGAAGAGTTTCTTGCAAACTAAGTGTTGTGGAAATAAAATATTAACAAAGTCACATTCTTCAATTAATTTCAAGTAGAGTTTATTTTAATAGAATTTTAATTTAAGTCTTAATAACAATAATACGTGATAACAAAAATTAAGTATAAATTGTATTTTTTAAAGTTTTATTTTATTTAAAAATTGGGAATATATAAGCAAAAAATAATAACTTTACTAAGGAAAAATCATCTCCAAATGATCCCAGGAATCTGTCATTAACAAGTTTACTACTAGTTCTGGAGCATCCTGTATATTAATATATAAGTGTTTACTTGACACTTTTTTCTGTATATGAGTTAAAGAATTTAAAAAAATAGACAAATAAAAATAAAAGTACTTTTATCAATCACTATTAAATTCCAATCATATTAGTAAAATCAGGAGCTTTTTATAATCTCGCACGCAGCTTGCAGATATTTATTTGTCCGCAACAGTAGGGGAGAAAGCATATGGACAGCGATAGATGCCTCTACGAGATTCGCGAATTAATCAGAAATCGAACCCTGAATACGCAGTCGGGATTGCGTCACGAGCTGATATCAATCGATCGATCAACCGGTATTGGCCAACTATATAGTGGTCGCACAGGTGCCTAGCGAAACGTGGGTTTCCGACTGTCTCGTGGGTGGTACGAGAGGGCTTGAGAGAGGCCTGTTTTTACTCACCTTTCGGAAATATAAGGTTTTCGTTGAGCGAGGTCACGACACCCACGCTATCGCGCTGCTACAGCGAACAGCTGCGATCTACGATAGGTGAAAAGTTGATTCCCCTTCCTGCGTAGGACGACAGTAAGAGACGCGATTATATAGCAAATAATGTACCAGGGTGACATCGTCAAAACGATCGGATCAGATGTACCGAGGCTTTTTTAATAAAAAATAGCCCTATATTATTAGGATTATCAAAATGGGATTTCTATCAGTTTATTATATGTATATTTAGCAAGGTTTTGGGTAAGTTAAAGTTTTAGTTTTTTGAGTTCAATATTTATTTAGTGACAGTCTATTTATATTAAATTAGAATTTTGTTTGTTAATTCCTTTAATATTTATAATAATAAAGAAATCTTTATTTTTATATAGAAATATAGTTTTTGGTAATTATAATTGATGACAAATGAACATGAAAATTAATAATATACTTTAATTTAAAAATAATAGGTTTATAATTTATAAAGAAACAATAATGATATTTAGGTCAAAAATAACTAGTTGAAGTTAAAAGTTATTAACTTTTTAACTTTTTTTAACTTTTAACTAATTATCTAGTTATTATCCTCAACCTTGATATTTAGTAATATAGAGTAAAATTTTATTGAAAAAAATTAAAATATGTAGCAGACGTTAGATGTTGCGTTTTATCCAATATGCAATCTATATGGTTCATTTGAAACAAGAAAACTCGATTGATTCTTAAAATATAATGATAAATCTAGTCTTTGTTGTAGAATTTTTTAAACTCCTCAGTTTTTAACAGCCAAAAAACGATTTTTTTAACAAATTTGTTTTTACATTCAAATAATAAAAATTATTTTACAAATATTGTGAATTTTTAAAATTTGCTATGACAAAGATTAGACAGAGCATCAGCAACAGCGTTCTAACATCAGCAGCAATATCTGTCACATTTTTAAATATTTTTCAATTTAAAATTTTACTTATTATATTACTAAATATATACATAAAATAACCCCATACAAATAAAAATAATTTTGATAATCCTAATATTTTCTGAGAAAAAAAATTCATGAATATAAGCTATTTTTGATGCCTCTGACCTCTGGATATATATTCCCCCTTAATTCTATAGTCCCTAATTTGGTTGACAGCTATATGGGTGACAGCCTGTGAAGATGCAGAATTGTAATTTACATGTACGGATCGCGAAAGAATAATAATGTAATAAATAACGAACGCATTAATTTACTACTTTGATTTTATACTAATTGCATAAATCTAAAATTATTTATGTGAGAATGTTCGATTTCCCTTGTAATTAGGTATATAGTTTGAGAAACGGGGGAGCTATATATATATGTATATATGTATATATGTAGACCATATCGGATTTGATAAATGAACTGCGAGCGATACAAGTAATCCATTCATCTGAAAATGTTACAGTTTAACGTAAAAAGAAAAAGAAAATAAAGAATAAAATACATATATACGCACATTGTGCGCAATTAATTTCGCATCACCGACCCATTTCTCAGAATTCATCGATCACGAGATGAGTCGCGCGATTGCATACAAACCCTTGATTATCCTCGAATCTCGAATCCCAATGCAATTGCGTTGAAAATCGTTATCTTTATAGGTCATGCGAGAAAGCTAATTAAATTTAATTAGAATGAAAGCAGATTTATATGCTGCAGGAATGAGATTTTTAGAAAAATAAATCTCTCGGATTATAATAGAAAATACTTTCTATATGAAATTTAAATGGCAGAATTTACAGAATTGTATGTATGTATATCATATTTAATTAATTAATTGAAAAATGACATATTTATTTTTTAATTTTGCTCAATGAGACGGTTTTTTTAAGATACGCGTTTCTTTTCTTTCTTGCCAAGGTAGTAGTGTATTAAGGTGAGAAGTACAATACATAGAAAATGTCATGAAAGTACATCGCATTATTATTCCGTGCACAGTAGTTACAACTGCAACGAAGACGCGCGAGGCACCAGATACCGCGTCTTCGTCGGCTCATTCTGACCTTAGGCAAGGTTTAAGAAACCTGTTTCGAACCATCATCATTTGCATTTCCTTTATCTGATATCGTCGCATCGAAAAAAATACTGTCTTTCCATACCTGCGACCGAAACTTTCGAGGAAACAACTTAATTTACTTGCTAGGAAACTCTACAGTTCACACACATACCATGCACACACACACATATTTAAATAATAAGTTATTAATAAAGTATCATTTGAAATAATAAAAATAGTAAGAAAATATATATCATACATATCCTGTTTTAAAATATTATTTAATATTGTTTTCAAAAAAAATTTTAATTACATTATTCGCCGAATTTCTATTATGTATACATAAAAATTCAGAAATTAAAATTATGTACATGATAGAAATTCGGTGAAATAAAATTATGTATATATATAATAAATTTGGTAAATTAAAATGATGTACATATAATAGAAATTCGATAAATAAAATTAAATATTTAATAGAAATTCGGTGAATTAAAATTATATGTACATAATATAAATTCGACGAATTAAAAATTTAATGGAAATTCGGTGAATTAAATTTATATATATATATATATATATATATATATATATATACGTAATAGAAATTCGGTAAATTAAAATTACGTGCATATATAATACAAATTCGCGGGAATTAAAATTATGTACATATATAATAAATATAATAATAAAATTATAATTACATAATAATTAATAACAAATTAATAATAATTATAATTATGTACATATTTTTATATTTAAGTTAAATGTATTAAATATATTGCCACTAAATTTTTATCTTAAATAAAGTATCCAAAAAACGAATATTAGACGCGGATGAAAGTTTAATTAATCATGCTCACCTCGATTAATCAATCTACGTAGAATATCAATTCGAAACCAAGATTTATTATTCTTTCTTCGTTAAATCTTGAAAAAGTCGAGTAGAATCCTGCACAAACGACGAAGTATGCTTTAAAATCACATTCCGTCTACCGATGGCAGCACCAGCCACCCGCTATTCACCCACCGCTCCGTGACGTCTCCCTCCATTCAACGATTACCGTGCGAGTGATGGCTCCGTGAATGGACTCCATTGACAAGCGCTGATGTTACTGAATGAACCGAACGCCCGAACCTGTCACTAGCGCCATCCCTCGGTGAGAGAGAAGGCAGCGTCTCACTCCGCCAGAAAATATCCCATAACCTCGCAGATATCCACCGCAGATTTCTGTCTTGACAGAGGACGATGATGCACGCCGAGACTCCATCGTGCGTGCTGCTCCGCGTGTGTGTGCGTCATCGTCGCGTAAATTTCGCAGGTGGTGATTTTTCGGTGCTGCGAGAGGAGGCCCCCGAGGTGTGCGCCGGCATCTCCGAGAAGTAGAGGCTCCCGAGGCGCCTCTTGGTCCGAGAGGGGCGTAGTCCGAAATCGAAGGAGAAAGAAAAAAAAGGGCCCGCGATATACCAGGTATCTTGCGCCTGAGTTTCGTGCTACCCTATCGTGAGAAGATTACAAGAGAACGCGCACATTTAGACGGAGAGAACGGCGGAGGCAGAAGAAAAGGTCTAGGAAGCGAACTGGAGGAGTTGTCGGTTTGACAGGTCGAATTTGACATTTGACAGTTGGAGCGCGTCCGGGATTTAGACGACATTCCGACCTGTCAAACGAGAATCCAATGTGCAATTCGGCGGACACGTCCTACGTGCAAAAGTTAGGTTACCTGCACCTAGGGGATGATACTCCGGACGCCGATGGCGCGACCAGGGTCTCGGGTTCCAGGCCGAGGCCCAGGTGCCCGTATCCAGGAACGCGATGAACAGGAACGACGTCAGAGTGTCCGGTAGAGCGGTAGGTGCTATAGAGAGTTTCATCGAGTAATTCCACGGATATTTCCAGACAGGCAGTCGCCACCGATTACAAGTACGAGCGTGAGAATATAATAGCAGCTTCGCGATTTGCCACTCCTAAGCCAGTGGAGCAGATTAACGCGCTGCAGCAACAGCAGCAGCAGAATCAGACTCGTGCAGGTCACCAACAGGCTCCTGTTTACGAAAATATAGATTACTATCCGCAGCAGAGTCAACCGCATCCACCTTATTATCATCCGATAGAGTCTCGGAAAAGTCCGAAGGGTAGTCCTAGAGCCTCCTTGGTTGGTGATGCCTATGAAGGAAATTATAGGAAGGCTCAGCCGCAAGTGCCAACTGGCAATCGTTACCAGAGTACATCACCGGCTAAAGAATTGCCTCCTTATGAAGCACCACCGGTGTATGAAAATATACAGGAGGTACACTTCTCTGAGAATATGCAAAATAAGCCAGGACCTCAGGTGCCGCCAAATTATTATCATCCGCAAATATAAATGGAGGTGATTATGTTGTTATGACTGGAAAGGTGGGTCAGTCCCAGACTCAACGTGGAATGACTCAAAGTTTATCGTACACTCAACAGAGGAGTGGAAGTATACGTAGTCAAAGTTATGATGCTTCAAGTTTACAGCGTTCAATGGATTCATCTGCGTCCAGGTATTTACAGAGCTCATCCTCCACATCCTCGGATCATCAGGCTGGAAGGAGCGCTTATGTACCTCCGTCTGAACTGCAACAACCAAACAGAAACTTTAGTTACAGCTCCGATCAGCAGCAACAACAATCTCCTAGATCTGCCTTACCGTATCACAGCGAATCTCCTCCTATACGTTTACCACCGGAGCCTCATCATTATCGTGGTTTATTGGAAAGTACTATGAGTGGACAGCAAGGATTTCGTGCCACAAATCAAATTGATAATGGTCAATCTTCGCAATTTCGACAGGACAATCCACAGAATTACAAGCAGTACATTGACCCTCCTTCGAGAACTGCAAATACAAGTTTCACAGGAGACCCACAGGCCAGGAATTCGCCAGTGTATGGATTTCGTCCAGGGGATCAGACAGCGTGTCATAATCCTCCATGCTACTCTCCAAATCGTACATTGCCTCCGAATGAAAGGAATTACCATCACCAAGAAAATCGACCAGACTTTCCAGCAAGAAATTCCCCTGTTTACTCTTCAAATCGCTCCACGGAACACTTGAGATTAGGTACGCTGCAACAAAACGATAGGAACTACGTTTCAGATGTTGGATCGGATCTCCCAGCTACAAAGAGCTCGCCTTTATATTCTCCGAGTCGAAGCGATCCCACCAGGGCCATTATTGCTAACAGCAATGCGATAAAAGAATCTCCAAAAGCAAGTCCAACGCATGGTCAGATATCATCGGATACTTCGCAGATTATCATCAACTCACCTAGGCATGCATTGCATCCTTCCTTCAACAACAGTTCCATCGGAAGCCCTATACGTGGACAGGTGCAAGCTCCTGTCAGCAGTGCTGCAACCACTGCTGGTGAAACTGACATCAATACTGGTCCTAGGATCACTAGTCTTCCCCTGGTGTCACCAGTGGAGTTGCAGGACCTGTTCTCTTGAATGCTGGTGTACCTGTATTACAAAGACCTGCCAATTCAGAAGCAGAAGAGAGAAAATCTGTCAGTCCACCGATCAAACCTGCACCTGGGAAGGGATTGCTGCCTTACAATGTCATTTCTAGACCTTCGGTGAGTCTATTGTTGTTGCCTATAAAATTTCTGTTGAAAAATTATGCTTTTTTTTCTGAAAATTTTATATCTGTTTTATGTTTTATAGGATATTCGTTTACTGCTGCATATCTTGTTAAGAAAATGATTGGAGTAGCATAATTAATGCATTGCATTGTTAAGTGGGTTAAGGAAACGCATTGACCATTAATGTTACATACGTCAAGTCTTCTCGCACCTTGGCCGAATGCCATAAAGACTATATATATAAATTTCGTACAAGAGGGATAAACAATGCGCTGACGCGTCCCAAATTCATCGAAGCGTAATCTTATCCCGCTTAAATTACATTCTCATCGCGAACAATGCAACTTATTTACATAAATTATATCAATACTCTCGTCAATGTTAAACTATTCAAAATAATTTCTAAAAAAAATGAATAACTTTTAAAGCTGCTTCTTTTACGTTGGATATATATGATAACTATGATCTCATTAATGTTCACTTTAATCGCTCATTTTTATAATGCTTGACCTATGTAACAGATAAGATTGAAGCATTTGCAGATAAATCCATATAAGCAATCGAGCGAAAATGCGATTCGCAATCGTTATATATATTTTTCTTTCGCTCGTGCATTTCTTCTTCATTTGTCATTCGATCTCCACGAAATTTGGATAACCACTTATAATTCCGTCCAAGGAATTCCTTCTTCACGCACTCGGTGAATCATAGCCGGTAAATTGCCTGCCGCTTGCATTCGCTGGATGATATTTTATTCATGAGACGTTCATATTTCTGCGTGTTACTTTAACACATTTTCTGCTTTTGCTTTTCCCATTATACCTTTCTGTCCTATCTATTGTTAGGAAATTGATAACGCCTAGAAATAATAGCATTCCACAGTAGTTGCATGAAACGTTATGTTAAGCAATTAAAAAAATTACATGCCTTTAAGAATATTATTTTATATGATAAATAATCCGAACAAGACGATAGCGACTGCTTTTTATTATATTTATTTTATTATATTAATTTATTATATTTATTTATATTATATATATATATATATATATATATATATATATATTATATTTATTATATATTAAAAATAATTACACATAAATATATAATAAATATAAATATATAAAAATAATTATATAAATAATTACATTATATGAATTTTTTCATGATGAAATACGTGTGAAATAATCATTTAATTATCATATGTATATGTGTGCATGTGTAAATAACATTTGATACCGTTATTGATTGATGTGCTCTCTAATATGCAAATAACTTTTTGCAGGGACCAACGGAGGCGGAAAGAAAAATAGAGGAATTAACGAGGCAGCTCGAAGAGGAAATGGAAAAACAGGAGGAGGAAGGAGAGTACTTCGGTAAGAAGAGATAAAATCTTCATTTCGAGAAAGAAGCACTTACCTGGGTGTTCCATATTCCTACGCGATAACGAACGACTCATCCTAGGCTCAAGAACTGGTCATTCGGACTGGAAGTTATCTCTTCCACATGCTTATCTATTTTTATTTTATTTTTACCGTTCCTCTTATCCTGCGGCGACACGAGGAAACCCATAATTTTAACTATTTCTGGGAAACGATAAGAACCACGTGACACCTTTGCGCCAATTCCCACGGTTCCATTAGACCGGTTTCGGAAAACGGACTCGAGTTTCGGAGGCGCGGATACTTTTTAACGCGCGACACTTCAGTGGTGACATTCACTCTCTCTCGCGCGAGCCGCGTCAGCTTCCACCCACGTATCTCTTCGCATCTTTCCTATGTATGTAAAGGGACGAGGGCGAGAGTATGCACGTGTATACGTAGGTTGTGTATATATATAAACGAATAGGCCACTCCCTCTCCTTCTCTCTCTTCAGTCACACATGCGGCTCTTTAAAAGCGTTAAAGTAACACTCATACTATGTGATACCTATAGACGAAGTTGTCTCGTTGTAACTGACATCATAATTTCTTTGGCTTCCTCGTGTCGAATACGATGACACGCAGCTTGCAGGAGACTCTGAAAAAATTTAAATAATTACGTCAATTTTGCTTCATGAGAAATAAGGATGTTCTATGATAAATTTGTTATCATTGCTTCGGCTATTTTCTAGAAATATTAGAGACAAGCAATGAAACGCGAAGGAGGATAATATATTGTAACATAACTCTCGATAGCTCTTGGAAGATGAATGTGGACGCAGCCTAATGTGCACAATAAGGAACCGAGCGGACAGGAACCTCGGTTGAGCGAAGTAATGTCAGCGGAGAAGTAGTGGCAGGCGTTTAGGCGAACGTAAATGTCCCCCTAGTCTCGCTCATACTTGCAGACGGACAACGCGTTCTCCGGCGCGCATACGTCCTATAATCTCGTTATAGATAGACCAGTCCGACTCGTTGCTCGGATTCTAGTCTTCCGGCTAGAACTAGTCTAGCGAAACCAAGTCGCGAAACGTAGTGCAACGTGGGTGCATGAGAGCTAAGAGAAGCGCATCCGCCAAGGGATGGCAGGGTCGCGATTGCCCATCGAGAGCTGTGAGTTGGTCCTTTATGTCAAGTAGTTTTTAACTTATGGTAGAGATCGATTCACTGCCCTGGTGAATGTGCATTCTTGCATCTGTCGGTTGTGTGTATTTTTAACCCTTTGACGGTGAACCTCGAGTCTCCTCGTATTCTTGAACTCCGCGTGTACGAATGAACTGCGAATTTTATTCCTTGAAGTAATGCATATTCGCAGATTCTATCATATAATTTATATTTTGAACAAATTTAATGTTAATCTGTAAGCAGTCTGTGTTAAATAATTCTTCAGTATGAATTAACAGAGGAACTCCACAATCTTTATGGAAATTGAATTTCGGTCGTATTACACTTTCTGTTCAACAGATCGTAAGCTGCAATATATGAGAAAAAGTGATCTTATCAAGATTTAATTTTATATACGATTGGTACAGGGTTTTTAAACTTATATAAAATCCTAGATGAAACCTCAAAGCTAAATAATAGATGGTTACTGATTTACAGCCAGTCAAGCATGAAAAATTAGGACTTTACGAGTTGTTGAATATTTAATTTCAAAGCTATTACATTTTTTTGTTCAGCAGGTCACAAGTTACAACATATATAAAAAAGCAGCCAATTTCATCGAAAGTCAAATTTCTATTCGGTGCGAGGTCCCTTGTAATTCATATTCCACGAAGAATTTTGAGAATATAAATTAGATATGCATATGTCATGATGTGAATTATTTCGCACTGAGATATTTCTTGGCGATAGGTATCTGTCATACATGCGGCGAGAAAGTGACCGGCGCCGGACAAGCTTGTCAAGCAATGGGCAACCTCTATCACACCAATTGCTTCATATGCTGTTCCTGCGGAAGGGCGCTACGCGGCAAGGCCTTCTACAACGTTCACGGGAGAGTTTATTGCGAGGAGGATTATCTGGTACGTGAGTCGATGATTGAAATAAAAAAAAAAGATAAACTATTACTTGTTTTGCTCGTAAACATCTCATTATATGTGCTCGCAGTATTCCGGTTTCCAGCAGACAGCCGAGAAGTGCGCGATTTGCGGCCATCTCATTATGGAAATGGTAAGCGACGAGAGGCTCGATTGTTATCATCCATAAGACCCCCTCATTGTAAATTCAATAACGTTGTTTCTTTTGTCTTCCACAGATATTGCAAGCGATGGGCAAGTCGTATCACCCGGGCTGCTTCAGGTGTTGCGTCTGCAATGAATGCCTCGACGGCGTCCCATTCACGGTCGACGTCGACAATAAGATCTACTGCGTGAACGATTACACAGAATGTTCGCGCCCAAGTGCGCATCTTGTGGAAAGGGAATCACGCCGGTCGAGGTATGCGCGCTAGAAATTAATACTCACTTATTACATCATCGGAACATAATAGGAATTGGATTCTTTTGTTATCTCTCAGTAGCAATATCGATCTATTTAGATTGTTTTTTACTAAAACAATATCGCTTATATATATACAGAGGGTGTCCCAACCATACGTTTATGGGAGATTTCTAAGATTATTTGGAGACGATTTTTCCTCAGCGAAAATGTCGAACAGGAAAAATCGTCTTTGATTGAAAATAAAATCTTTTTTGTAAACTAAGCCTTATGAAAATAAATTATTAACAAAACTACATTTTTAGTTAATTTCAAGTAAAGTTTACTTTAATAGAATTTTAATTTAAGGCTTAGTTACAAAGATACATGATTTAAAAAATTAGGAATATGTATATACATGTATACACATATATATTGAAATAGGCTGAAAATCAAATCTTGACTGATCTGTTCCACTGTTATAAGTTATTGTCATTTAACATATTGATTTCCTTTTTACAAGCATTAATTACAGTCAATAGACTGTAATTTTTTTCTGTATTTCTGTTTAGGGAACCGAGGAAACGGTCAGGGTAGTCTCCATGGACAAAGACTTCCACGTGGATTGCTACGTTTGTGAGGATTGCGGTATGCAGTTGACTGACGAGCCGGATAAAAGGTGCTACCCACTCGAAGGAAGACTGATGTGTCGCGCGTGTCACATCTTGCGCATCTCGCATCCGCAACCACAGCCAGTGTCGGCTAGCTTCGAGTATATGGGTTAAGAAGCTACGTCGGTGCTTGAGCTTTCCGAACTGCGCACTTAACGATCATCCGATAATGAATCTGTGAAAATCGAATAAGATACGAACCGCGATAGCAGAATAGGACACTTACGATTGCGCATGCGAAATTTAAAAGATACGTACGAGTCAGATTTTGCGAAAGAATTTACACATTTTACAAAAGATCTTTGATATAATAGCTATTACCATTTATATAATTATACTATATGCTAACATGTTTGCTATTATCTCGTGAAATGAATGCCAATTATCGCATCAATACAATTAATACACATCTCAATAATATATAGTAAAAAACATAATTACAATCTGTCGCGTGCTAAGTGTGTTTTTTAGAATCGAAAAATTATGCGATTTTAATTATTTCAATTTTTAAACGAAATGTCATTTTTGACATGTAAGACTGGATATTTAAGAAAATCGAGCCGAAATCATTACACTGCCCTATTGGGATCATTTTTTAACCGATAAACATAACGTATAGTTATGTAAGTACAAGAACATTTCTTTTTAATCGAAGACAAGAATCGATAGTCTAGATAAGTATATTTAATATATGCGATTTTTTATTTATTTAGTCAAGGTGGTCTTCTTGGCAAACACAGTAGTCTCATTAGGATGAACGAGTTGCGCAGGCAACTGTGATATAATAGCATAATAATAGTTATCCGTTGTTAAGCAACAATTCCATACTTTTTAACATATGTATATATCCATTGTATTTTTATCGTATCATATTCACGTATGTATCATGACGGAATCTGTAGAGATTTTTCTGCGAAAGATTCTTTTCCTCTATCTCGATCAAGTTTTATAATATTTTATGTAATATTCATTAATAATAATTTATTAGAACAAATATATCGTTTTACTGCGAAGACTCGCGTAATATTAAATTAAAGTTTATCGATATGTGACAGAATGTACTATAATTTACTTCGAGGGTTATAATGCGTTTCATATATTTTCGCGATATAAGCAATGGAAACTAAAAAAATGTTTAGAATATGAAAAGAGATATGTAGGCGTGCTATCGATTAGTGACAATATTATATAAAATATTGGAAGACGCACAACTCGAGCTGCCAAATAACTATTGTTACTTTTCAGGATTAATAAACGTAATTATTCTATGTTACACTTAATAGTAACTAACAATAAGTGTAATATAGAAATTAGTAGTAACTAATTGTAACAAGTAAATAGTAAGTTCGTGCGAATTGTAGATAAAATTGTAATCCTATTTAAATCGTATATAAAATATATGTATAAATGAATCACACACAATCCTCAATAAAGAAAACTACAAAAATCTATTTAACTCTGATATATTTATTTTGCGAGAAAAAAATTGTTTTTTGTTTTAAAAAATATAATCAAAATTATTTCTTAAAAAAAGATCTCTTTTGCGAGATTGATCATTAAATATGTTTACGAGATGTCATTATTTATGTTACTGCTTATAAGATGTTACTATTTATATATTTCTTGATATAGTTGAAATTTATTATAATTCGTGTCAAAAATGCGCTTATTATTGCATATGGAATGACAAACAGATTGGATAAATAAATCAATGAGAAACAATTTGATGCAGAAGATAATTTATAGTGACAATTACATTTACAAAAAGAAATATACATCGAATATCGCGCGCGGTATAATTAATTAATATCCCCAAGCTACATTCACAAGCCCAATTCATAAATCCGACATATGTATATTTTTATGGTTTTGGCGGTTCCGTGTGCCGTGTTCGGTCCTTTTTACACTCTGCCTTGAATTTTATCTTGTGTTCTGCTGCACATTTGTTTGACTGTATTGGCTACAACACGATTAAAGACAATTACGGAGAGAACACATCCCGCCACATTGATGAGAAACGAGATCTACTATTCACGCGACAAGTATACTTCGCACAGAACAAAAGCAACAGAGATCAGTACGATATACTTGATATTAATCGGTAACCTACTCATAGTCTTGCGCACAGGCTGCACCACGTGTGCATGTAAAGAGAAGAACAAGATGGATATTTCAAACAGCAAACACAGAGATGATTATATATTGAATATTGTTTATTTTTTCACTCTCAACAGATGACATTGCACTTCGGGTACATTACTCACCTCTGCTGGCTGACGTTTGAAGAATGAAGGTGCTTTTCCATAGCCTAATTTGTTAAGATGCCTAATGGCAATTGTTGTTCCTCCTGTAATGTTGTATTAATATTTAAAGAATTATTGCATAAAATATCAAATATTAGTGTATAAAATATCAACGTACCAACAGTAACAGTGTATCTCAATGGAGTAAATATCTTATAAAGTGCATAAGTAATTGCCCAATTGCCAGCGCTTGAATTACGTACTGCATCTACATACTTATCACTAAAATTCATATATTCCAACAGCTGCGCTATATCTACACCACTGAAAGCAGATGAGAAAGATGTTACATGTCATTAATTGCCAAATTCAAAGAATACATGTATCAGTTTTAGTTACGTACTTCCTAATAGCAAGGTAGAATATAGCCACCCATCCTATAGAAGTAACTATGTGCACAGGTATTAATATATGCCAATAATCTTTGGTCATCTGTTTCATTTTCTGGAATACTGATACATTCTGTTGTGTCTGAGGTTTTTGGCAGTCATCCTCAGAACTCTGTTTAATATCTGAATAGTGTGCCAAAGTAATACCATGTTTATTCGCACCTTGCCTCAGGATTTCTGATCTTTGATACGCAAGTACACTATTTGCGAGGCCTAAAGAATTGCATGACATGGTCCTGTAGCAATATCTTTCTGTAAAACGAAACAAATAAATTCCAATAATGAATGCACTTTGTGTTGATGCTTAATTAACATATATACAGGTCTGAACTTACCAGAAAATGTCGACTTCCAACGTGTTGTATTGACGTGACATGTGTAACATGCGGACAGCGGAAGATATCTCGTTAGCAACAAGGCGTTGCCTAAATCGAAGCTAAATCTCAGTCCACGGACCAAAATTACATCCATTTTCGAAAAACACCGCTTTCACTCCTAACCAACAACTATAAAATTCTTGTGTTTATGACTTGTCATGTGTATGAAAAATGATTTGCGTATCGAGAACTTACGTGGAATTATTTTTTACTGCTCCGATCTGTCTCTTCGGTCCGTGTGAAACATGCACATAAATATATTCACGAAAACCTTGACTCAACTTTTCAACATATCACATCATGCTATGCAATATTATGCATTGATTTCAGGTATTATGTATTATTACAGCGAAAATGTCGCAAGTAGTGACATCTGTCATTTGGAGTTTCAATGAAAAGCTATTTAAATATCCCTGACATAAGCAGGTGTCTATACATGTAGCTGTTAAAAACAAACACTAGCACAGAAGACTTTTAATAATTTTAGACATGATGGCAACATAAAATACTATTAATTACGACAATTTTTTAATTTGAGAATTAGAAGAAAAAAAGATAAAGAGAAAAAAACGATGTAAAATTTTCTAAAAGAAGATAGATTCTCATAGTAGAAGAAATTGTTATAATATATATACATATATATATATATATATATATATAAAATATATTAATTATATATAAGATAGCATCAACAAAATAATATTAAAAATTTCCAGTTTTTTATAAAAGCTTGTATTTCTTGAATTATTTGTGATCAATTAACATCCAGTAAATCAATTAATATCGAAATGTTAAGTTAATAAAAATAAAGCATGGATCTATAAATATATATATATATAGCAATAAGGAATATTTATATAAACACAGCTTATGTTAATAATTTAAATTAAAATAATATTTTTCTTATTAATATATAATATATATGATATAAGAAATTTTTTATACATATAAAAGTAAGGTATATAATTTTCGAATTGTCGCAGATACAAAATAATCACTAATAACTAAAAGCTTTGCAAATAAGCAGTAGTAAAGGGAATAAACTCCATAATTTAATTTTTTCTGCGCTGTTTTGATACCATTCGGCGAACAATGCTGAAACAAAATGAAAAATTCCTATTTTTACAAGATACACTTTGCACTTTTATTGAATAGAACATTCAAAATTATTAAATAAAATATCAATTATGATCAAACCTCTGTCGTCACGATTCGTAATCCACCCGATTACAGGCTGCATCTTATTTTGTCGTCTTAACCACGCATTTAAAGGCTCAAAATATTTGAGCATGGCACCAGCATCTATTCTATTTACTCTGCCTCTTGTCATTTGCCTGATAACATCTTGCCATGGTCTAGAAGATCCCATCGACAGAACGTCCCTATATAAATACGGAAACATATTTTTAATGAGAGTATTTTTTTATTTCCTTTCAATGGAACGCTTTTTTTATTAAAGCATTTCGTAAATTTCGTACGTACGATAATAATCGACCTGCTTCTCGTGATCTATAAATATCGCAAGTGTGCAATTCGCCTGTGTGACCAGAAATCTCACACAATGATTGGAACAATTGAAATTGTAAAGCAATGCTCACAAAATATCTATAAATAATTAAAATTAAAAAATGATAGATTTCTCTTTATTAATGCTGTGTGTAATAATAGTAAACATACATATATTTACAGTGTTTGCTGTTATCTAAATAAAATTATATAGATAATCATCTTAGATGAAATTTTGATGTCATATCTAATCTTTATATATAGATAATAAAAATATATATTATCTGGAAGTAATCTATAGATGAATCGCTATATAATTTATCTTTATTTAGATATATATATTTAAATTCAAAATCATCTTCATCTTCTATCTAAGATGAATTTACATATTTTCATATTATATCTTTATCTAGATAATTTTAAAATCATCTATGCACAACACTGCATATATTATTATGCACTTACTTGACATAAAGATTGTCCGCTGGAATATGATATTTAGCTGCTGGATCAAAATTTCTTTCGGATCTAGGCACAGGTGGAACAATTCCTTGATATTGTAATCTTAATTCCCACCAACGTGCAGTCATATCTTCCACCCCATCGCTGAAGACATGCCATCTCCACTTGAAAAAAATAAATACATGCAATTTACGATTATTAAATTATTTTTATATGCATATGTATATGACAAAAAATATAATTACTCAAAAAAATCATGAAAAACTTACGTAAACATAAAAACTGCTGTACATATACATGCAGATTATGCATATACATATATTATATAATTTTTTACATTTAATTTAATTTAATCGAATATAATCAGGCACGAAGCAAAGCCTAGTTATATTATTTTTTAATGCTAAAATCTTAAAAATTGCAATTGCATGCATAAAAATACTACTATCACTATCGCAATACACGCACAAAAATATATTAATCAATTATATATGCAATGCATAAAAATTCAATATTTAAATCTTCATTAACAGAAAATACAAACAAAGAAAATAGAATTTTCTACAAGAATCTTTCAATCAAAATATACCTGTACTTTTACTCGCATATAACCTCGCATTAAACTCGTATATAATCTCCTATACATCCATCACACTACGCGTCTCGCGCGATACTGATCATGTGACATATGACATCAGCGGCATCAGCCTCATACGAGAATCGAGTAATCGAGATTATCGAAAATCGAGAATGAGAATCAAATCAGTCTCCCGCTCGGCTGTGAAGTTGGGTTTCGCCGTCAGACAGCGCCATCGCTGCTCTGAGTCTGTTCAGTGGTAGGGGTCAGTCTTGGGCGAGACGCGCAGCGTAGTGGACGTGTAGGACATACGCGTCTAAAGAAAAGGATGAAAGGAGAGAGATACTTCGCCGGGCCACACCGAGCTTCGTTCACTTTTGGCTGTGAAGTTGTGTTTCGCCGTCAGATGGCGACACGCTGCTTAGATTCTTGCGGTTAGTGATCATGGTCAATCTCACGCGAGCCGAGACATGCAGTGGACGCGTGAAGACGCGCGAGTCTATGGAAACAGGTATTTTGAGCGAAAAATTCTTGTAATTCTTTGTTCACATTTTTTGTGAAAGATTTAAATATTGAAGATATTATTAGATATGCATTGCATAATTAATTAATATATATATACATTTAATTATGTACTTATATATATATATATATATATTTATATAAGAATATTATTGCAATAATTTTATGCATACGTTGCAATTTTTATTATCAAAAAATGATATTAATACTTAGCTTCGTCCGCGTAATTATATTCGGTTAGATTAAACGAAATTTTAAGAAAAATATATATAGAGAAATATTTAGAGATATATAAAGATATATATATATTAATTATTATTAATTATTTAATTATTATTTGCTATGAATTACTTGATCAACTAAATAAGCGAACGGCATATAAGTCACTTTGCGAAGAGCCATTAACATCAGAAAATTTATACTGCTATCATAATCATCCGTTAAATTCTTTTGCAATCCAATTTTATGCAAGTGTTGCGAAGTAAAAATAGATAAACCAATCGCATCGCTAACAGCTTCATAGAAACCTGATTTAAAAAAATACTAATTAAAATACAACATATTAAATTTCACAATGTGTGTAGAAAAAAATATACCTGGCATTGCCTCGTTTCGGAATAAAAATGGATGATCCTTGTATTGTAAATAATATTGCAAATGTGCCATTTCGTAATGCGTCGATAATAAATCCTCCATCGCATCTCTAGTACACTGTTTTATTCTGCAATTAATTTTAAAAGAGCAAATTTCAAAACCTATTAACATTTAATTTAATATTATATACAGAAAATAAACTCAGAATTAAATATAAAATTAGCTTGTCACAAAGAAAATTTAGAAAAGTAACAAAAGAAGAGACCTGTAATCGATTCTATTACAAAAATCCCGTGCACTAGGAATGCAATTAACTTCTCTGTCAATGGGTTTTTCAAATATGGAAAATTTCCAAAATTCCGGCGGCATTGGCTTCATTCCGAGCGAAGTGAAAAACTCTTCCGCTATTTGGAACATCCTTTTTACCATGAAAACATTCTCTCATAACATTGTTTATACTTTATAAATTTAATATAAGAGCATCCTTTACTTTAGAACATAATACCTCATTGGAGTGATATTCTGAATCATTATATCCACAGTCACGTCGAGTTTTCTGCTCGCAGGAAAAGGTTGCACCAGTTCGAACAGACCTTCCCAATTTTGAGCCCACATATTTCCCAAAACATGCGCTGGTAAAGGCCCATCTTCTCGTATTCTGTTTCCATATCTTTCAATTAGTTTCGATCGCACATAAGTAAAAAGATTCTTATACAGCGGAGAGATGGCTGACATCACTTCTGCTATATTTTCCTCGAAATTTTCATCTTCAAATAACTCTCTCATCTGATCGCCAGCATCGGCAAAACCTTAAAAAAACATTTGTGAGCTTTAAATATATTCTTACAGAAAATATTATTTTATACATATTTTGCAGCAAGTTATAAAAAAACTAAAGTGCTATATTTGTCTTACCGTTTAAGTTAGCTGCTAAATTAGCTAGTTGAACGTATCTTAAATATTTATTTTGAAGTTTTGGACCAGTTGCTTCGTGCCAAGCATGCCAATAATACAATAATTCGTCATAGTCTTTTGATTGTGCCATTATTTTATTAATATCTAAAAATTGATAGAAAAATTATTTATATTCTATTTATCTTTTTATATTTATCTTTTTATAATAAATTGAATTGAATGACTAACTATCTACATTCAAATTACACCCATTTTCATCAGTTTGTTTGTACGGACATACTTTGATTTTATTATAAATCTCCTTCATCTCAGCTATTAAATGGTTTATCTGAAAATTAAATTCATATAATAATACGTAAATGAATGTGATTCTTTGAATATAATTACAGTATTCATGTAACTGCACATATCTTTTAACGTTTAATAGCAATTTAAATATTAATTAAAGGATTAAAAAATAATATTCTTTTTATTTATCTACCTCATTAAATTTATCGTCGGTCAAGGAACTTCGACCTTTTGTAATAATCATTTTGAGTTCCCTTCTTGCTAAAGGATCTGGTATTCGACTCCAAGCAAAAGTGATTGCTTTCCGCCAAGAAGCCCTCTCAAATTTTAATTTTAATGTTTGTTCATCCAGCTGATAAAAATTATAGAAATGTTATAAAAATTTTTTCAATTATTTTATTAATGTATTATTATGTGTCGCTTTGTATTAATTATAAAAAAAAATCTGTTACACCATTTTTTGATGGTTTGCATCAGTAACGTTGGTCGCGAAATTCCATTGAGCCATCGTCACTCTTGTGCACATTAACGAAGCTGCACTATCATATTCTCTCAGAAATAGAAGGGCGTCTCCTAGGTTTACATTGAGACCCTTGAAGTGGTACATAGAAAAATATTTTAAAATGAAATGTGCTTGAATATAATTTGCTATATTTTTTTTAATGTTGTTACTTAAATCTATATTATCTGTAGTCATTAGACAATCAAACAAAACATGTGTTTTCTTGGACATAACAAAATTAAGGACAATTATAAATATATTTCTAGTAACCTACAGATGAGGCATAATGATACAGCATAATATTGCAATTACATTATTGTGTACCAGTTAATTGACGTATTTCGGAGAATAATAGTTATGATTTTCCGAGCGTGACCGGAACTATATAATTTTCGCGAAGAGATTGTAATCAATTCGGAACCTTACCTCCAAATATTTTCCATAAGCTTCCTCTCGCAATAAAAAAACACAAAAAACAATGAGATTTCGAACTCGCACCATTCTTGATTGTAAGTTTATCGCTGCACCAACAAGTGATATAACGAGCTTCGTAAATGCGTTAAAATGTTATTCATTCTCAAGTAGAATCTTACCCACAATGATGTGATTTAATAATACACACATATATATTTAAACACTTATATCTTTAAATATTACATAATTATTAAATACGCCAATATTTTAATACTAATTGAAACACATCGCACATTATAAATTACATAATAACGACACGATATTTATCCGAAAAATAAACTTTATGCAAACGTATAAATCAAGTTTACGTCGGTGAAGACTATATTCCAGTCATAATTCAACTCAAATTCAGATAATGTCAAAAGTTTGAACAAAGTTGAATGATATCCCGTCACGGAGATCGACAATGTTTTTTTTTTTAAATTCGTATACTTAAAAACTATAATCGATCACGTCGTCACTCTGCAACTATGGTTCAAAGAATCAGCAACTCGATGTCGTCGCGGTAAAACTGAATCACGGCAGAGAAAGAGACGGGGTCTTTCCGGGACGGATATTTCCATGGGCGAAAAGAGGAAGGGACAGGCACTATCGGTGCGTGAAGCGTAACCGCCCAACGCATCGCGGCACACGCCAAAATCTTCTTGCATATCGCTTTAATTTCACAATTGCTCGATTAAATGTGTCATAATAGTCGCAAAAATCTCTGATGCCCCTACTTTCATTTTATATTTATTATATCAAATTGAAGCAATATCTGCCTTTCTTTCGCTACAACTCATGGCTGGACGCGTCGAAAAAAAATATATTTTATATATATTAGGTATACTTAATTTTTTTTCAATTTGAATTAGAAGAAAAGAGTTTAGCGACGCATTTTGCACGCAGCGGAGTATATAGCCCAACTTCCTTCATCCTGCAGGCGAATACCGTAACTTTAATTATCCGGTGGCGTAATCAGTGACACAACATGACCATGCGACAGTCATTGTCATAGAAATGTCTCTTAATGTTTTTAATAAATTTATTAAAAACATCAAACTCGATGTTTTTTACATTCGTGATAAAATATATTAAGAATAGTTAAATCTACAATTATCTAGATCATTTTATATGTGTATCACATTAAAGTTTTGAATCGATCTTATTTTTATAATAGAAAAGTAAAATAATAAAAGAGCAAAACAGATATATACTTATTTTAAATTTATTACAAAAATCAAGCATAACTTCAGCTGCTATAAATAAAATGTTAGCATATTTACAATGAAACTTTGGCTATTAAATAGAAAGATCTTCTAGTCTAATAAGTCTTTTGAATGTATAAGTTCGCGAAACAAGTTATGATTTGCTGCTCATAAGCATCTGTCCAGAACAACACATATTTTCTACAACGGTAAATCTATTTTTTACGGTAGGAGTAGAGGACACATTGTATCTTTGTGATTTCACATAACTATGTCCACTATTATATAATTTACATTACATAATTGCGGATATTTCGAAAAAAATAGAAGAGCCGCAAATTGTCAAAATGTTTATATCAAATAAAATATAATATTATTTTAACTTTTCTATATATTCTTCTACATATTCTTAATAAATAATTACATAGTTATTATTTATTAGATTTGAGACTTATTTGTTGAATGTTCCTTTGTCTACTTAATTGTTTGTGGATTCTGCGTAATTCTTGAAATTCTATACGCTTTTTAATGAAATCTATGACATCCGGAACCTGCATTTATAAAATCTTTTATAAAGTTTGAAGTAATAAATAATTATAAATATATTTCTTAGTTTTCCAATTTTCTAAAATTTTATTGTGTAAAAATAAAATAATTATAAGTAAAAAAATTCATAAAAAATAAGTTTTCAAACGTTTCCAGTACAGTAAAATGCATGTAAAAATATCACCTCGAAATCATCCATTAATGCCATCACGGACTTGAGCTGTTCTTCCGCTTTTTTTATTTCAACCTTCATAGCTACTTTTTCCAATTGCAATTTCACGATTTCCTGTTTTTTAGAAGCAATCTTGTTTCTCACTTCATTTATGATAGACATCAGGTTACCCACTTTTTCCTTGTGCTTTGTCAACGCAATGTTGTAACCAGCTGCATCAAATGCAAGGATTTATGTTTACATTATTGCGAAGAAATCGCGGAATGCCACTTTCTTACCCACGATCCTTTTCATTTCGAGCAAATACCGATTCTTTTCATCGATTTCTCGTATGCAAACTTGATTCTCTATGTTCAATTGTTCGAAATCTACAGCGCGTAAAGCCTCGCCGAGCTCCTTTCTGTGCTGCAACTGCAGCTTGACCTTCCTTATCTGAGATCTTGTGGTAGTCATCCTCAATCTGATTTGTTCCATCGCAGCATCGATTATTTTCAGCCATTCTTCTATAAATCTATACATCAAAATCGGAATCTATTTGTTATGCAGGATGTTCTATAAGAAATTGCTGAAACTAATCAGCTGTCATTTTTAATGCCGTTATTGAGAAAACAAAAATTGTGTTGAAAAGAGGAAAATTTATAGTTTTAATGGTCATAAATAAAATGTTTGTGCACCAGTTTATTTTATTGAAAAAAATAATGAAAAAAGTGCTAATAATCACATATGTAAACTAATGATAAATATTTTTGAGTGGGCACCATTTAAATTTGTACGAAATTCTGTTCTTTTACGAAAACTCGTAAAAACTTTTTTTAATATGTCATTTTTAATGTTATTGACGATCATAGCTGCTATTAAATCTGGCACTGTTGAAAATATTTATCATTAGTTTATGTGATTTGAGCACTTTTTCATTACTTTTTATCAATAAAATAAACTGGTATACAAACATTTTATTTATATCCATTAAAAACTGTAGAACTTCCTCTTTTCAACACAATTTTTATTTTCTCAATAACTGCATGCATTAAAAAATGACAGCTAATTAGTTTCATCAATTTTCCATGGAACACTCTGTATAATTTAATGCAAGCCTACATTATTAATGTATATAATATATTATTATTATTGTATAATTATAATATATTATAATATATATTTAATGTATATGATCGAGTTGTTTCTTCTATATAACACCTGATAAACTTCTCAGCCGGTATTTTTCCCGTAATGCTATCTACGCCTTTTTTTACAACATTCTCTTCAAATTCCTTCTTAGTTTTACAAGTTTCGCGAATACTCATCTCGGCTTCTTCCATTTGCGCTCGCATGTATACTTTTCTCTTCGTCGACGTTCGTTCGAGTTTCGCCAATTCTTTTTGCAATTCCCGGATTTCGGTGTTCACCATCTCGATGCGATACGCATACGTAATTCTACACAATTGAAGCGAAATATTGTAGCTAATCAAAGACGTATAGCAATACGACGGGGGACTGACTTTCCCGCTCCTTTTGGCGCTCTGGTTGTTAGGAGACTTTGCGTGACGCGCCGACTTCCGGATTGGATGCTGACGACACTTTCCGCGTCTACGTCGCGAACATTCATGAGACTTCCGTTTGTGCTCGCAACGGGCGACGTGCGACCGTGCTGAGGCGCGATTTTTTGCACGCGTTTAGCGGTTTCTAAGATTTGCGCTATTGCTGATAAAATATATTAAATATATTTAAAATAAAAAATATATTAGAATAAAATATATTAGATATATTTAAAATAAAAAATATATTAGAATAAAATAAAAAGATTGAAATTGAAAGCACCAATCTAAAACGATTTAAAAAAAATATAGAATAAATATAGAAAAACTAAGAAAATTACTTTGAAGATTTTCAGGATCTCGACGTGCGAGATATCGTTCGAAGATATCGTTTTCTAGCTTCAGCAACAAGTTTGTTTCAACTATATTTTCGAGTGTTTGTTGTAATTCTGTTTCTGTCATATCTAAAAGATACGAATAAATCTTTCGGTGATTTTTAGAATATAATTCATTAAACAAATACCAAATTGTTACACACATAAATTTATATAATCACATTTGTTATAATAGATCTCTTTTTACCTTCATAATAATACAATTCATCTGGTTTACAGGTTAACAATAGAGCTCCGATACTAAAAGTTCGGTATCGCGACATTTTTCTTCTCCAAATTTAGCGTTCTTACGGATTATTAAAAATTTTTCACTATAAAAAACATAATATTTCACACAATGTACAAACACATTTATTTATACAATTCTATCATACATTTTGCAATTTTTACATGTCACGTGAAATATATTTTTTATATTCTTTCTAGCTATTTTCAAGTAATTCTCAACAAGTATTTTTTAGCTAGCCAAAATTAATAACTTCACATTACACTGTGTGTGCACTCAATGATTTTTACATTACATTTATCATAGTTGTAAAAATTACACAAAATTGCATGGCACATTGGTTGGTAAAGTGAGCAAATTGAACATTTTACTGTAATCACAATAATATTGTTTAAAAAATGTGCGTCACACTTTGTGCGGTTATTTAATGTTGCATTTAATTTCTGACTAGCGACGATAAATATTTATCAAAATCATTAATGTCGGATATAAAAATCTAGCATAATAAATATGTAGATCGAGACATATTTTAATTAGGACGCTTCCAATAAAACTTCTTGCTGTATTTCAACATCATTAATATATAGAGTGTACGCTATACCAATCTCTTTTTGTTCTGAACTGTAAGATCTGATTGCAGCCTGTAAATCTCCAACGGTGAAGAGAATCTCTGCACCACCGTCCATGAATTCGTTCTGTGTACAAAATTTTATTCAATTTTAATTAAATTTTTGATATTATCGTATAACAAAGAGTTAAATTTTATTATATTTGAATAATAACATTTGTATATAGTGTTGTGTTCAGATGATTTTAAAATTAACTAGATAAAGATAAAAATATGTAAATTTATCTTAGGTAAAATAAAGATGATTTTGTTTTAAATAAATCTAGATGAAAAATAAAATTATACGGCGATTTATCTAGATAATTTTCAGATAATATTATTTTTAAGATTGCTTATGTAAACATAGTTATAAAAAATGTAAATTATAGAAGGGATATAAAAATATATATTCATACTTCATTCATTCCAGATAATTTAGTAAAGATAATATTTTTTTTTATCTAAGATGCAGATATAGATAATACATATTTTTATTATCTATATAAAGATAAGATGACGTCAAAGTTTTATCTAGATAATCATCTAATATAATTTTATGTAGATAACAGCAAACACTGATAACCTAATAATAATACATTGCTTAATAAAAATTCTATAATTACCTCGACTTCCACTTCTTCTCCGTTTACCCAAACACTGTGAGCGTGTTTGTCTAAAAATGTCACAGAGAAGAAGTTAAGTATTGCGACAAATATACATTTATAAATTGTTTTTGTTATATACCTATAATTACCTAATACAACCCTATATTCCTCATTTCCAACTTTGGCCAACCAAGTCTCCAATATCTTTGTTTGCGACTGGACAAATTGCTTGTAGCTCTTCCCATTAACCCACAACGAGTAAGAATATCTCAAACCTATTCACACAATTATCATAATGGAATAATGAAACATTGATCGTCGAATATAAATAAGACCGTGAAACTCTACCTGGCATCGGATCGACTCTAATCACGAATTTAGTGTTATTGAACATAAAGACTTCGTCACCGACCAAACGAAACATCCAATCTCTGTGAACTATTTGGTCGCCATCAACTTTGACTATACGTCGACCTGTTGCTGTACCATGTTCAAATTCCACCACGTGATTTCCATCGCTTAAAGGAACGGTCCACTTGGCGGTAGGTTCATTTGCTGAACTTTCCAAAGTATGAAGACTTCTAAAAAAATTTAAAAGATAAAATATAATATATAACATACATAATTTAAAAATAAAAATAAAAAATATTAAAATAATGCAATTATATTAATATGCAACAAAATTATAATAATATAATTTTTAGCCTGTTGTTAAAATTAATTAAATAATAGTGGCAAATATGGATACTATAATACTCTTCGTATATATTTAAAATTGATTATACATTGCTTATAATATTCTTTCATCTCTTTAGTGAAACTAATTTCGATCTTTATTGACCAGTTCTCTTCAGTCAACAGTAGGCAACCTACTTGATTGCCAAGCATGTTGATTGCCTACTGTAGGCTACGGCAGTAAAGATCGAAATTAGTTTCATTAAAGAGATAATAGCTTTGTATTTGCTTATAAAAATTACATTACTGAATAAATCACAAATAGCATTCATATATCTATCAATATATTTTTAAAAAATTTTAATTTGGCAATAATTAACACCAATATTAAAAACATAACAAGAAAAAAAATATATATATATGTGTGTGTGTGTGTGTGTACATACATTAATAAAAACTAAGAAAAAATAATTTTTATATATTACATATAATATTAATATAATATTTATATGACACATATATTAATTAAATTAATTGTAATTATATTCTTTAGAGAGAATACTTTTACGAAACTATATTACTGATCAGAAATGCAAGTCTAACTTGTATTTACACCTTGACATTACACTTGACAGTTTTTACATTTACAGATGTAAAAATATTAACAATTACGATAATAAATTAGATAAATATATGTTGAGCATTTCTCTACAAATACTTTTCTGACATAATTTTGTTATTTTACTCACCGAAGTAGAACACCTGCCATACTTCTTCTGTATCGCACCTGTACTGGCCTTCTTATTGATCGCCTTTACTACGACTATCCCCTCGATCAATAATTGAGGTATATATTTTACGTTATATCACACAATATTATTTCTTTAAGAGTACTATAGTACTGTTTAGATTCCAAATTTTGTAAACTATAAGTTGCATTATAAATATACATCAGAATACATTAGAAAACAATAAATTAAATTATTAATTAATAATATATATAAATATATAATTACTTAAAAATAAAAAAAATTATTTATTATAAAGAATAATTAATTTTTAAAGTAATGAATATAATAACTTTATTTTAATAAACATTTTCACGTATAGAATTTTGTTATAAAACATATTATTTAATGTGTAAAATTGTATTTTATATCAAATATTTATTTTCATACAATTTTGGTTAAAAGCAGACATTGTCTTTCTCAAATCTCAATCTCGCCATCGACAAAGAATTAATAAAAATATGTAAATATTAGTGAGAAAATAGTATTCCGTATTAAAATATAAATTGTAAATGCAAGAACTTCATCTTATTTGATATATTATTTACTGGATGTAGGCGGTAACAATTTACCCGCACACGATCCAAAACCGATCTTATAACCATCACCGACACAGCGACCTAAAAAATAATGCTTATAAAAATCTTTGTTTTTATTATTATAATAATTTTAAATATATTAATAAATATATTAATAATTTTAAATATATTAATAAATAATTTATTTCTTTACCATGCATTATTACTTCATCGCCATCTTGAAGGAATTTTCTTACGGTACCATCTTTTAATGTAATAGGACGTGTGCCTTTCCAACATAATTCTAGCATAGAACCATAAGAGTCTGAAGTCTAAAAATAAATATCACATATATTATCAAAATTGCATAATAAAATAATCACAAAATAATATTAATTAGAAAGAATGAAAATTTCAATCACTTCTCCACTTATGGTGCCAGAGCCCATTAAATCACCAGGATTAATGTTACATCCTGTAACAGTATGATGAGCCAGTTGTTGTCGCGGAGTCCAGTACATGTATTTGAAATTGCTTTTACACACAGTTGTGACTACACCACTTGGAGCTGCAAGAACAAAGTTGCAGTCGTAAACAACCGACATAAAAAATGTAAGAAAAAACAGCGAATGTAAATCGCTTACAAAAAAAACAATAAGAAAAACATCAACTCACATTTAATATCAACTTCCAATTTAATGTCGTAATTACAGGATTCGTCATGCTGTAAATATGGAAATGGTGCGGGATCTTGAGTCATATTAGGTACCTTGAAGGGCTCTAGAGCTTCCATCGTAACTATCCACGGAGATATCGTAGTTCCCAAATTCTTTGCGCCAAATGGTCCCAACGGCACATATTCCCACTTTTGGATATCTCGTGCTGCAATAGAATTGAGATAATTAAAATAAATCATTTGTTTATTTACACAAGAACAATAATAATTTATATATCAAACAATTGAATATTGCAAGATATTAATTAATTATAAAATTTTTTTTAATTATATCTATTAATTATACCACTCCAGTCATTCATCAGGACCATTCCAAAGATGTGATCGTAAGCCTTCGAAGCTGGAACGGTATCACCGAGATTCGTAGGTGGTCCACCAACAAAGAAAGCAACTTCGAGTTCAAAATCCATTAATTTACAGGGACCGAAATATGGTGCTGCATCTTCGACTGGTAGTGTCTGACCATAGGGTCGTTTTATAGGTGTACCTGACACAACGACGGAGCTTGCTCTTCCGTGATAACCGACCGGCAAATATTTCCTATAATTATTTTATTTTACAGATTTGTTTCAGAATATCTGAATATAATAATACATTAAAAAAATTACCAATTCGGCAGCAGCGGATTTTCTTTGCCACGAAACATGATGCCGACATTTGTGGCGTGATTGAGAGACGAATAAAAATCTGTATAATCGCCAATCTTTGCTGGCAAGTGCATTATTGCATCTTTCTGTGCAACAAAAATTCTAAAACAGAAGAGAGATTTTTAAATATTATTTTAAATTTTCATATTTACTCAAAATTAATTTTTTTAATTGTTTGTTTCTTACTTTGAACGGACTTCCTGATCTTGCAAGGTATGATTGTTGGCGGAGAGCAGTTCTTGAAGTTTTAATCTTGTTTCTAGCCATGCTGGTCGTCCGAGAGACATGAAATCATTCAGGCAATCACGGCGGAATACATCCTGTTTATTTTTTAACAGTGGTCCATCGAAATAATGTGCGATAGCACCCAAATCCAAAATTTCATCACCGATTGCTACTCCTATTCTTTTTTCTGACTGAAATATTTCATAATCAACATTATTTTTATATTTATTATATATATATATATATATATATATATATATATTATATATATTTATATTAGTATATCTATATTATAATATAATTAATAAATATAAAAAAATTAATCTGATTCGTATTTTAATCTAATAAATTTGGAAATTTTTAATATTATAATATATTGATATATACAGTGATATACTTTATTGGTGGTACGATGTAAAGTTATCGAACAATAGTAACGTACCAGTTGATGGTCACTTATTAGGAGATACTAAACAAAACTACTTAGAAAGTGTTAGATAAATGCAATTTTTTTACAAAAACATTTTAGTGTTAACTTCGATGTTATATATTTTTATGTTTAAAAAATTGCCAAACTCTCTATTTTCCAATTTTAAAAAAATATTTTATAAAATAATTTAAAAAAATATTTTATAAAATAATTAAAAAAAAATATTTTCTTAAAAATATTTTATAAAAATATATGTATATACATAAAATATACTACATTTTGATATAATCTACGATTCCCTGAGCTACATAAAGTTAGATTGTATGTAAATGTATTTCGTTCGTATGTGTCTACCTACAGGTGTTTTGAGGTCACACTGTGACATGATTTATTTGTTGACTATGATATGTTTTGGCTTACTTACCTTGTTTTTCGTAGAGAATATTCCGTATGGCAAATTCTCGATCGGAAAATCACAATCTGCCGAATAATTGACGAAGGATTTCATAATTATAGCTGTTACGAGAGATTGTCTCTATCGAGTCGACTTGATCGCGACGCAAGTCACGACGAACTAATCGTATTCAACAGCGAGGTCGAACGACATAATATATACACCTGTTTACGATTTTCGACGCCGGGGCGAGCCTCCGGTTTAACTAGTTTTATACATTAATGCAACAGAAATCGCTCTTTATTTAGCTGTTTTCCTTCGCTGACGTTTTATCTTGAATGTTTGATCATTTGAGCTTGCCAGATAACAGTGAAATGATTAATATTATGTAATATACAGCATATCTCACTCTTTTTAATTGATACATTTTTAATGTCAAATTAAAATTAATCTTTTATAGCAAAAACGTGGCATTTAGTAAATTTTAATTAAAATAAAAATTTTATTACGCAAGTATTGTTTTATCTTATTTTTTACACAATAAATTTTAAAAAGAAAGAGTATTGATGATAAAATTCCTACAAACTTACACAGTAGGAAAATTTGTGTTTTCTTGTTAAAAACGGTTTCCGTTAAAATTTTTGTGTTAAATATTTAATACATTCATGTGTTAATTTAACATATTGCTTTTGTGTTATATATATAATTAAACTTAAATTTAAAATTATTAAAATAACTGAAAAAAGATGTAACACATCTATTTTTAATTTTACATAATAAATATGTTCTGTTTTATTAGTAACAAGATTTATCTGTTAAAATTTACAGAAAAAATATTAATTTTTTATTTTATAATTTAAGTGGGACTGATGAAATCTAAAATTAATATATTTTAAAATAATTTTTACATTAAAACTATGTTAATTTTACACAAAATTTATTTTAAATTTTGTGTTAAAATATTAACACCATCTTTGTGTCTCCATATTATGTTAAATTAACACAAAAATTTCCTTTCGGGACATGTAATATCTGTTAAATTGAACACACATTTTTTAACTGTATTAGTATACATTATAATTAATTTGGAATAACAGCAGTTTATTAGACATTGATATACAGTGGATAATAAGGGCAATTAGGTGAGTAGGCGGTTCGAACAACATGGTTACGTGCCAGCAAACAATCATCCTTATCTCATCGCCGCATACTCTCTCGACTTTCGTTTCTCATTCACGTATCAACGAAGTTTGTTTTACTCACACGCATGTACATATATATATTTTCTCTATGTATTTATAAATGTATTTCTCATTACAGTACAGTATACAAGGACAGCTTTCTCCTCGAAGATGTGTTTCGAGGCTTTTTTCGCTAAACACTAATCGATACTCTCGTCGTTTGGAAGACATGGGACTTTGTTGTTGCTTACCTTACTTCGTTACCAACTTAGACTAATAATTAGACTAATATAATTAACGATAATGAGGTCAAGGATTTTCAAGGTTTGACACTATAAGTTGTCGGTAAAGGAACTTAGTAGCATTTTAGTTATTAGTGTGGCTTTGAGAAGATATCGTTTCCTATCTCGTTAACATAATCGAAGTAAAAGATTTATTCGGTTACATACACACGTATTTCTCGTCAATGTAGACTATCGAAGAAAGCAATACTAATAAGCGTATTTGGTGCAACAAGGCGTCTAAAATTTTTAATATATGTAGTGCGATGCAGCAAATATAATATATTTATTGCATTGCACTAATGTTATATTATATGGATAAAATACATAAAAAATGGTGCATAATATAAGGGTGCATTCTACAAAAATGTGATTTGTGCAGTGCATTTTTGGAAATGTGCATAATATTTAGATATGTGGTGTAGTATACATAACACTCAATCAGAATTAAATATAAAATTTATATATATTAGAAAAACTTTATATTTAATTCTCCATTGTCATAATAAATACGTAAAGTATTCATAATATCGCAGAAGAGGTATACTTTATATACAAATTTTTATAATACGATTCACTAATTAACTACAAAAAAAAATTTGCATAACATTAGCAGTTCTAAATTGTAATTATATAAATATTATATAATTTCTCTAATAAGTCGCTACACATTTTTAAAAATATTTAAAAATGTTATATTAATTCTATTGTTAATATTCGTTACATTGGCCGCATATATATATATATATATATAAAGATGTTTTATAATATATTCTCTGAAGGAAAGAATGCGGCATCAAATGTCTATTAATTGTACGCAAATTAAATAATCGGGAGTCTACAGGGACGAGTATACTTTCCATATAAATATATCACTCTTTCCTTAAAAAACGATCATTTACACGGGAAATTGGTAAGATGTGTGTAATAATTTACGAGAGAGATTCGTTTATATGAGTAGCATTGATTGCTATATGTCGGCAGTGCCAACGACTACGACTAAAATAACTCGCAACGCCGATAGAATTATGAATAATAATTAACAACGGTTCGATAAAATGCCTCTTTGCAGGTATCGGTTTGCTGGTCAGATGAATTGTTTAATTCACTTTTCCTTTCGAAAAATACATTTTGTCTCCCCCTATATGGCGCATAATGATTACAAATAAATTATTCTTGAACTCTGGATCAATAAAAATACTATTTATTCTTGTAAATAGTATTTCAAATTGGCGCTCTTACGATACGAAGCTGCGAATCGTTTTTTTTTTATTAAAAGTTGCTATATCAAAATATTTGACATTTTCCTTCCACGCGATTTTACGTAACAAAATTATGATTTTAAACAGCTGTGTGTCTCTTTATTTCTTCAAACGAGTAAAAAGAAAAGTTATTGTCATATATTTTTTTATGTAAAAATATGAATGAAAAGGAATACATTATTTAAGAAGAATATGATTTTGAAAAAATTATGAATATTTAATACTTTAAGATATATTATTACTTTCTCTTTAATAAATTGTGTTTTCTAATTTCTAGGTTTTCAATTTTCCTCATTGATGCAGAGTTCAGCTCTCTCATATAACGCGCTCTATATGTTTTATACATTACATACGTTTCATAGAATTGACATTGCCTGCTATAAATCCGTCAGCCAAGCGCAGTCATTTAAATACGATTAACATCTTTGGCATTTTAGATTACAGAATATATTACTCTCTACTTCGATTAATCCCTCATTTTATTTCCTGGCACTAATTGCGGCTCCTTCTTCTAAATGTATTCCTCTAAAGTGTATGACTTAAGCTATTTGTATACGACGGCACGAAAGTCGTCGACGGAAAAAAAACGCCCGGTGAGTGTGTTTGTTTCGAAGATATACATAAATACACTCATAGTATTTCTTTAGTATAGTGATATACATCTAGATCTTTTACGTTTTACTTAAGTATCTTTTTTTTTGTTAGTCCATATTGGCGAGTGAGTTGAAATCTATAGAGTCGTTCGGTTGTAAGTGTCGTCGAACATATATATATATATATTTATATAGAATTAATGAAATTAAATAATAAACCCAAATTTATAAGAGAAAGTGCATTAATCAATACATAATTAAAATTAGATTGAAAAATTACGAGATCCGTAACGTTGAAAATTGTTGCATCATTGCGATAGTCAATAATACAATCATTAGCTGCAATATTGTGTTGACGATATAAAATAAGTAAAATTTTTTAATAGCATCGACGAATCAAGTGACAACCGTTCGCACCAATATTTGAAAAAGCATGTACTTTCATGGGTTTTTTTGTGTTTTGTATTCTTAAAATTTCAACACTAAATATATATAATATATGCTTTGATATTTATATATTTATACTTTTTTTATATATATATATATTTATATATATATATATATATATATTAAATAGTATTCTTTGTTCGATTAAAACTGTTTAACAGTAAATTATAATATTCATATATATTTTTTGTGTATATAACAGATGCAGTCCATCTCGTGTGTAACGTTTTATCTTTGCAAACAATCGATAAATTATTAAACTCCGTCAATAACCCAACAGAGAATAGTGTACAGCATTAAATCTATTTTCTATAATGAAAAGAACAATGTTAATTTATATATGTCATTTATCCATAGCATAGGCGATAGAAAGTTTCTATCCCGCAGCTATATTTTGCTGACAATAATTTGTTTGCAACTCATCGTGCAACGGGCACAGAACAACGCTTAGACTCAGAGAGTTGCTTTCTTACACACAATTTACATTCTAGATATATTCTTACACCACTCGAAAATAGTGTTACCTCTTCGTTCCAATGCGTCATGAACAAACTACAAATTCTGATCAAATCGCAATAAATTTTTTCATTCGAAAATTTACCTGGAATCTTGATTTACCTGGATGATATATATATAAATTTAATTTACTTTTACATATATATATATATATATATATATAATTCATTTTTACAAATTAAGTTTAAAAGACCTTAATCAATTTTTTTTAATTACGTAACTATAATTCAATAATTGAAACTGCAAAGTTTCACAAGAAAAAGGAATAATAACAGTTTAAAACGTATTAAATAATTTATATAATCGTATCGAATAAACTATACAAAGATAGCTAACAAATTAAATATATATATTTAATTTAATATATTTGTAAATTTAATTATGTAATTAATTAATATAAATCGTGATATTTATAAATCTATCAAAATTAACTCAATAAAGATATTAATCAAAATAACAAGTGTATCTATTAAAAATAATTTGATTAATTTTAAACAATATGTTATATATATTTTACGCAATTCACATTTTGAGATGAAAGATTTTATCTTGAGTATTTTATTTGGAAAGCAATTATATATTATTGCTTCGATTAACGAGAGATTAATAGTTTCATCACACGCATTGATTATCATTATCATGCATCGAGCAGTGAAAAATAACGAATCTGCATAATTTATCGGCCGGAAGCATCTTTAATTCTGTAACTTGTCACCTTTCGTTTCTCGGAGATATGCTGTGTGTTTCGTTTAAATCTAGAAAACTTATGTACTACTAATATCTTTCGATATTTAGATTGCTGCTGCAAACTGGCCGCAGGATAAAGAAGCATTATTTAACTACACATCGACCTTTCACTGAAATCATCTTTTTCGTTCAGCGATAAGATTTAGATTAAATTAAATTATTCCTCTGTTAATCAACGCGAAAGAATGCGTATAAAGATGACTTTTTTCCAATTCAAAATTGAAACGCGAAAAGAATTCAAAATTATTATGCCGCTAATATTTAGAAAGTAATATTAAGATGTTGATGGAAACAAAGTAAACACTGTCAAAAATTGACGTAAAAATTCTGAAAAAAATTACAAGAACAAAATCGAGAATCTGTCACAACGTTAAAATCAAACATACCTTCGCGCATCTTGCGTTTAATTGATGAATTTTGATCTGCTTCAAATTCATCGCACACACGTCTTTCCTGAATGCGAAGAATACAATTTTGCCAAACGGTCAGTCATCTAAATCACTGCATATTGTATGATTAACGCCTATGGACAGATTTCTTACAAGTCTTGACCCAATCGGTCCATCTCGGCCAAGAGAAAATCGATGTCGGCTTCCGTCACGGCGGCACTGGAAATAATATTTCTGAAGAAATTGGGTCGTCGATCGTCCGGTTGATAACCGACCATCAGCGTGCCAGATTGCATCATACGGCCCTTCAAGATGGGGCAAATCTGGAAGCAAACGGTCAGTGTTTGCTGTTATCTAAATAAAATTATATAGATGAAATTTTGATGCCATCACATCTTTATATAGATAATATAAATGTGTATTATCTACGTAAATCTGCATCTTATAGATGAAAAAAGTGTTATTTAATTTATGAATAAAAATTTATGTATTATGAATAAAAATTTTTAATTATTCTTACATCTAAATCATTTCGGCTCGTATATTTGGCCTACTTTTCATGTTTTATTAATTTTGTTATTTAATTGCACTAAATTATATCCAGAATAATATTTAGAATATAGAAACTTATAAATAAAAGTATGAATATATTTTTATAATTTATCCCTCTTATCATTTATATTTTTATAACTAGGTTTGCATAAACGGTTTTAAATAGTATATTGTGTATCAAGTGCAGAAAGTTGACAATTGGTGAGTGCGGGGGATGAACAATTGTCAATCCGCACTTGATACACACGATATTTTGTATTACACGTGCAGGCAAAGTGGCACTTTGTGTGCGTGTTTTCTGTGCGGAAATCGGCCGCTTTCCGCACAGAAAACACGCACACAAAGTGCCACTTTGCCTGCACGTGTAATACAAAATAATATTAACTGGAAGTTATCTGGATAAATCGCCATATATAATTTAATCTAAATATTATATATTTAAAATAAAATAATCTTTGTCTAAGATAAAATTACATCATTTTACCTCATCTTTATCTAGCTAATTTAAAAATTAATCTAAGCACACTGGATATATTTAAAACAAAATCCATCTTATCCGAGAAGAATTTAAATATTTTTATCTCAACTAATTTTGAAATTATCTCTTCCAAAAAGGAGATCGAATTTTTTTGATCTTAAAGTTATCGTCGAATCTAGAGCTAGATCTTCAGATCAAACTCACCTCGCCCAAAATTCTTATTCTCTCCGCGGTATGTGGCATGTTTCGCACGCGCGTAGGTAGATACCAAAAGCAGACGTTCACCAATTCAGGCTCGAGAATCAGATAGTACTTGTCGGGCATTTGTTTGATTCTTCTAACCATGTACTCCGTCAGCTCCATCAGTCGATCCATGTGTTTCTCGAAGCCATCTGAGCCCTGATAGAAAAACAATAAATTCGCCCCAATAAAAATTTGATTGCAAATCATCGCGGAACAATAACGTCACGCGAGAGAATGCAGACGCTCGATGAGCGACGAGAGACGCTCCAATAAAGGCAGCTCTCCAACAATAACATAATATAGCGGACTTTGTACCTTGGCGCGCCATTGCAACCAAAGCTTGAAAATGTCGTTGTGACGTCCGCATTGAATGACCTTATCGCCAGTGTCGTACCTCACGTCGTATAGCTTGTCCGTCATAAACAGATATTCCGCGGACATTTGGTTACAGCTGATCAGTAGCCCCTGCGAAGTGGAAACAGAGTTCTCGCTTTCAAAATATCGTACGAGGAGAGAAAGAGAGAGAGAGAGAGAGACTCGCATATATAATATTTTTCCGATAACGGAACGCTTCCCCAGAATTGTCTCGCGGTTTCCGATTGACAGGCTCCTCTGTCGAGGAAGTGGAGAAAGAGGGTGAGAGTCTGTCCGGGTCGATACGACGTTTCAACACATGCGCGCGAGGAAGAAAATTCAGGATATTGAATTTACAAAATGGCGGATATGCCATTCTGATGTTGCGCTCCATTATCGGAGACCATTGTTTTAAATAAGATTATCCTTTCCAGTTCAAAAACGCACTTCTTTCAACTTTAACACGTTTATAAATTTACATGACGCGAAGAACGAAGACGTTCAGAGACCATCCTGAGGATGTTCGAATATCCTCTGAATATTCTCTGAATATCTTTCGAATATGTTGCTATTATAGGGAAGGAATTTAAGATTCCTTTATCACTGTTTAAATATTAATGCTTGACAGGGGTTGTAAAAGTTGAATAATCAATGACATAACAACATACAAGAAATAATAAAGTTGGTGCTCAGGCAGCCGACGTGTTTAGACGTGTTTCGTCAAAAAATTGTTTTGTTATCCCCGGTCCGTTGTATATACAGACCATTATTGCCAGAATCTATCAAAAGGTGTATTCCTTTGCTATACACGAGTGAAATTCAACCTATATAATTAATCAATCAACTTAATCTCTACAGTCAATAAATGGTGTATGAGTTAATAAAAGCTCAAACAGCCAAATAAGAAGAAGAAGAAGATACGAGAAATAAATAAATACATTTCTGCAGTTCTCGCTTTTGTAAAATCTGTATCAGAAAATACAATTGTTGATGAAAACGTGGACGTTGCGCTTCAACGTCAACAGCAACACGATGGACCGACAAAAGCACGACGCATCTCTCCCCCGGATATCTCGCGGCAGCCGGTGCACGGAATTTTAATATCCGAAGGGGAAGTACGGAGTTAGCAATAACTGAGTCCCGCGTGTGGGGATGAACCCTCGCCGGCGGCGGCTGCGAGCGGGAGAACGGCAACATATGTTATCTCTTAGTTTAATTAAATTCCTGTAGTGCTGCGCGCCCAGGCACGTAGATCTACCCCTTGGAATGCGGCTAGTTGTGTCGTTGGCCTTGCACGATGCAGGAATTTCAGTCGGAGACAGACAGGGGAAACTCTCGAAAGTCCAGCGTCTTGGACATATCGCGAACGTGATATTTATTTATTTCGCGAATGCCTTTATTCGAGATTTATTTGTCAGCGCGCTTTTCATCGTGCCAGAATTAAATAATCCGATAAAAAATGCTTTGTTAAAAAAAAAAAATACTACGTGATGTGTGTGATAAAACATTTTCGTTAATTTATCAATATTTTTTGTAATTTATATTGCAGTGGAAATATTATATCGTATTAATTACATATATATGTTTAATGTAAATCATAACTTACGTCTTCCTTAAAGTGAATGCTGGAACATTGAAGCAAGGCTCCCATAAGTTTATGAGGGTTCCATGTCACCGAGTCAGCCCTGAAAAATCATATATATATTATTAGAATTATAAAAAAATATAATTTATTTGAAATATAATTTTTAATTTAATAATAGAATTAATTAAAAATTACAACGTTTTAATTATTCTTTTCAACATCATTATTAAATTTCATAAAAATTATTATTAAATTTTTAAAATAATTCCATATTGTAGAAAAAAGCTCATCATATATTTTTATGGATTAAAAATCTGCGCAAGCAAAGAATATCGTATGGATCGAGACTATTTAATGAATGGCATGGAAGAATTATTCTCTTTCTCGCCTTATCATGCAGCAACCTGTCGAAGCGAGCCGCGCCGAGTTGACTGAAAAAGCCAGCCAGCCGACCTCAGCTGGTCGTCAAACTCTTATCCACTCCCACGGGAACCAATAGGAGATAAAATATGAGTTATCTTTCTGCCGCGCCATGAGAGGCGGTCTATCAATTCGAGAGAAGAGCTATTAATACAGCCACGGGACCGGATTTAGCTCCCTGGTCCTCTGGGACCCACTCTGACGGTAAAAAAACCTTTAACCCTTCTTAATCCTTGAAAAAGTATTATGAAATGTGGGCGTCCACCTTCACATGTCACACTCCTCAATAAAATTTATGATGCATTTTTTTAGATATTTTATAACATAACATAAAAATTGTGGGAATGAGAAGAAATAAAATTGTTGATAAAATAAATAGCAAAATAAAATGGAGAAAATACTTAGTATTTTAAAATTAGAATTTAATGAAAAAAATGGTTTTTCTTGTTATGGGACTTCAGCTTTAAGTGTACACGTCGAGCGCTGATAAATGTTTGATACTTGGCAAGTGACATGTTTATCGTGACACTGGTCCAGCGTGTCGGTTGAATGCTCTGTAGATGATACGAGGGTACTCTTGAAGCACCCTTGAAGCACGATTCATGTCGTTAACAGAAGCTGTCTATTATTCACTCGTGTGCATCTTCTTCTATGTTGCGGATTGTCACGTTTTTATTTCATTCCAAAACCCATGCAATGTTTTCTTCTTTCTTTCATAGAGTTTTTATTTTAATTTTTGTTTTCAGTGATTTATCTGTCTTTATTCTTCGTGAAAAATAAGCAGAATATTGCTTCAAACATATTTATAAGATTATCGATATTTCTGTCAATGTATAAAAAATATATCAAATAAAGCATACATGAGATAATATATTTTTTATTTTATATTTAAATAAATATTAATGTATTAAATTTTTAATTTAATCTAAGCAGAAAAACAAGAATGCATTTGCAATGTATTTGTTCAAATGATTTCCTAGTTTATCATTATTTAAAATCAACATTAATAATAAATGAAAATTAAATAGATAGAATATTTTATGTTGCATTTTTTGCAGATATCCAAAATTATTATAACTCTTCACGATACGAGTAATAATTCGATGAAAAAATGAGACACACACAGGAAATGTTCTTCGCCGCATAGATTTTACTTGAGAAGTGTGTATAAAATTTAAAATCAACATTAATAATAAATGAAAATTAAATAGATAGAATATTTTATGCTGCATTTTTTGCAGATATCCAAAATTATTATAACTCTTCACGATAAATTTACGAGTAATAATTCGATGAAAAAAATGAGACACACACAGGAAATGTTCTTCGCCGCATAGATTTTACTTGAGAAGCGTGTATAAAGTGCGAGTGATTAATGCGATTCGCAGCTGGAGCTGGCGCTCGTGGCACCCTTCCATACGCTTTTAAATTCATCTGAGGTGCCAACCCCAAAAGCCGCGCGATATATATTACAGGGAATGTTAATTACCCGCACCCTTAAGTGTGATACGCGTAGACTATGTGTGCACAAGTTTTATAACGCGAACTTTACGCTTCTGATTCAATAATGATCGAGACAAAGTTGATAGAGTTTTATTTCTCTCAATATGTAATATGCAAAGATAAATTTTATAAAAAAGTCCAAATATTATTTAAAGAATAAAAAAAGACTAAAGACTAAATACTATTTTTGTAATAATATGAATTAAATAATAATAAGTTCTTTTCGAGAAATTAATGGTAAAGATAAGACTTGTAATTAGGAACTTGAAGTTTCGTTGATTTGAAGAAAATTGAGCAGATCCATCTCTTTCTAAATTAATTGGAACGTATATATATGTTTAACTACACGATCTTTTCCGATTTTGTTACTTCGTACGCAGTGTTTGCTATTATCTAAATAAAATTATATAGATGATATCATTCAGATAAAAATTTGGCGTCATCTTATCTTTATATAGATAATAAAAATATATATTTTCTATATCTGCATCTTTAGAAAAAAAGTGGTGTAGAGCCACAGCACATAAAAATAATTAATAGAACTAAAGCAGTAAGCGATTAAAATTCATTAATAAAGTATGAATATAATATCCCTTATAAATTTTCTCTACAACTGTTTTGAGGAAGTTATCTAGATGAATCGCCATACAATTTTATCTTTTATAGATATATTTAAAACAAAATCATCTCCCTCTTACCTAAGATGAATTTACAGATCTTCATCTCATGTTTATCTAGCTAATTTTAAAATCTAAGCACAGCACTAAAATTCGTACGTCATTTTCGTGCGACTTTAACCGAGAGAATGTAAAAAATCACCGGCGCATATATCCATTCTCGATTCTACGCAATCTCGAGCCGGGAGTAAAGAGGACCGTTCAGAGGATGAGGAAAGCAGAGTTCTCTTTGTACGAGTTTAATCCGGCATTGTCAAGGCACCCGCTTTTATTTCAGTCCTTGCGGAAGGGAAGATGCGTCGCGACGCGGCGAGTCGATGTAAAAGGAGAGTTCTGTTCCACAAATGTGCTCCAGGGAACTGATCCAGCTGTTGCTCGTGTGTCGGATCTTTCTCGGTGTGCCATTCGTTTGCCATTTTAATCAAGACTTCCAGGAAGGAAGTACCCATCGCGGTACAGTCCGCGCAGAAAAATCGCGAACATATTATACCCTATCTGTCATCAAAAAGTAATCCACGAGCCTCCACATGAATTTGAAATATTTTTAGTAAAATATATATTGGAGAAATTTCAGTGACATAAGATTGTTATAATTTTGACAAATTTCTATTAAATTTAACAGATATCACATTTCCCAAACGGTCCACAGAAATTTTTGTGTTAATTTAATATAATATGGATATGTTAAATGGCGACACAAATATTGTGTTTAATATTTTAACACAAAATAAATGCAGGTTTTATCATTCCCACTTGTATTATAAAATAGAAAATCAACATTTTTTTCTGTAAATTTTAACAGAAAAATTAAAAATAAAGCATATTGTTTATTTTGTAAATTTTTTCCAGTGCATTTTAATAATTTAACATTTAAGTTCAATTAATTTAACATTTAAGTTCAATTAACAGAACGGTAATATGTTAAATTAAGTTAAAAATTTTAACGAGGACCGTTTTTAACAAGAACGCAAATTTTTCTACTGTGTAGAAGCAAATAAAAATTGTCGTATCATATATCATTATATTTATTATCAATAATAAAGATAAAATATTTTTTTACTTATCACGCGATTGACGGCTCGCTATCTTTTTTGTATATAAATCATCCCCGAGGGACTTCTCGCGCCGATTTTCAGGTCAGGGATTGTGTGTTGTCGAATCGAGGGAGCAGATGCGCCTGGATGCAAATCGTGGATTAATCTCGCCAACCCCATACGTGCCTTGTCTGTACCCCTGACCCCTATCGCAGCTCGAAGGGTTCCATTGCGTTCGTATAGATATACTAGATGAATCAGAAGTCGTGGATTTTCTCGCGCGAATACGAATTTTTAATCAGACTTAAAATTAATATTTCCTATTCAGATAATCAATATAGTCTCACAGCTTCCGAAAAATTACAATATTACAACTAAATTTCGAAAATATCTTTAAAATATTTTTATATATTTATAATATATAAAAGTATATATAAAATATAAAATTAAAATATAATAAATTATATATATATAAAATTAATATATAAATAATATATAAAATTATAATATATATTTATAATATATATATAATATATAAAAGAGATATGTAATAACTCGCTTTTCTATAAATAATTAATTGTTCAGATTTCTCATATATTGCTAATGTGTGCAAGAAATCATTCCGAGGCAATCTGATGTCAACCCCTCGTATCCTAATCGCGGTTTATGCGAGCAATGCATTATGGACTGACTGCCTTCGACCATTCTCATGTAAAATCATCTTCAGCCCGGCATTCGAATCGCAGTTACCTCGAAAGGGACGTATTGATTTTATTCCATATATAGGAGGTACGTTGAAGGCGGTTTTTAAAGAAGTCCATCATAACAAAGCCTACCTAAGCTCCAATAAACTATAAAATACACGAATTAAATCTTCCTCGTACGTATATGTACGACTTTAAAATTGCGGAAATAAAAAAATAGAATTTACATATATAAAACGTAATTGCAATAATAAATAAAAGTACACATTGTAAAAACAATAAGCATATAAAAGTATTTAATTTGATAGAAAAATGGAAAATATTATAAAAGATATTGATTAAAAAATGATGAAATTATTAAGGGACTTAAAATAAATAAATAAATAAAAATAGATATTAATATTGATATTTTAGCACTCACCGTTCGATGCCACTCAATCTCGGATGCCTATACTTTCTCGACAGAAGCAGTCCACCACCCCAAGCCGCCTGGAACAAAATTTTTACAGAAAATTGAATATACAATATTCGATAATGCGAGCAATTAACTTGAAAGACGACACAATAAATAAGCAAAATGCAGGATTTCGCGTTAAGCGCTCCGTAATCTCTGACTTAGAGTTTCCCTGCAGTTTGTGCCTAAGTATTGTATTGGAACTTCTGCCACTTCCCGCATTTATTATTTACGTTAAGGCTCTTACGCGTTTGGCATTTACAGCTTAAGCTGTGTTTGGATGGACTTGATTGCATAAGCGCATCTGATTTCAAAGGAGTTTTACTCTGCCTAAGTGAGAATATCTCTTAAAACTCTTCAAACTAATATTCTCGTTTCTTAATTATTATATTTATTATTTCATGCAGTTTTCAATTAAATTTAAAAATTATATTATTCGAGAGAGACAAATTAGTACTTATATATTTTCATGTATTCGTGATTATGCAGGGAAATTTGCTTGTGATTTAAAATAAATATTTTTCATTTCCAAAGTTATACAAATTTATGTTTAATAATTATATATACTTTGAATGAGAAAACATGACTTACGTCGACATGCAGCCAGAGCTTGTATTTTTGGCAGATATCAGCGATTTCCGGAATCGGATCGAATGCGCCAATAACCGTTGTTCCCGCAGTGGCATTCACGAAGAACGGTATGTGACCTTTGGCCTTACGCTCCAGAATTAATTCCTCCAACTTCGATGGAATAATGCGACCGCGTTCATCGCTAGGCACCATTACGCAGTTATCCGTTCCGAGGCCGCAAACGGAAGCGCATGATTTCACGGAATAATGGCACTGCAGACATTAATCATTCACACGTAAACGGTTTCATTAATTTTCCTGCTCCTTACATATGAAAGCATATTTAAATAACTCCTCTACAAATTACGTTCAATTTATTTTGACAAATTCTTACATATTTGTAGCAATTTTGCTTTATTATAATGTATTTATTATTTATTTTAATATAATTTGTAGCAATTTTAATTTATTATGATATATTTATATTTTAATATATATAACAATTTTATTATACCTACTATATAAAAATTTACTTATATAAATTATATACTTTTTAAATTGGAACTTACTATTGTAAAATTTTTGAAAATAAAGCAGAGTGCGGATAATTTTATTGACCATTAAAATTGAAAAACCGAACCTGATCGGACGTAAACATAACCAGCTGTCCTCCAATAGCAGAGAGCCCTTTCTCCTTATAATACGGGAACATTTTGTGCCTGGCCGCAAGGAAGGCGTAAAGATTGCTAATAGATCCTCCTGGAGCGAGAATGGAATCGCCGCAATTCCAGCCTATGAGCTCGCGCATTTTTTGCAGGACGACGTGTTCCATCAAAATGAACACGGGAGCGATCTCGTAGGTAAACATATTCGTGTTTGCCGTCGCGGTTAGCCACTCGCCGGCCATGGACACTAAATCGAGGCCGCATGATAATTGATTGAAGAAATGTGGATGTCCTGAAAACAAGGGAAAAAGATATTTTTAAAAAAGATTGTGTTCTGATTATTTTTATACGCATAGTAGAAAAATTTGTTCTTTTTTTTTGTTAAAAACGGTCCACATTAAAACTTTTGTGTTAAATATTTAACACATGAGTGTGTCAATTTAATATATTGCTGTTGTGTTAATCGAACTTAAATGTAAAATTCTTAAAACGACTGAAAGAAGATACAAAATAACACAATGTGCATCAATTTTTAATTTTACACAATGAATATGTTCTGTTTTATTTAAAAATTGTATTCTGATAATTTTTATACACAGTAGGAAAATTTGTGTTTTCTTGTTCGGTCCCAGTTAAAATTTTTGTGTTAAATATGTAACACATGAGTGTGTCAATTTAATATATTGCTGTTATGTTATATAATTGAACTTAAATGTAAAATCATTAAAACAACTAAAAGAAGATATAAAATAACACAATGTGCATCAATTTTTAATGTTCTGTTTTATTAGTGACAAGATTTATCTGTTACAATTTACTGAAAAAAAATGTCGATTTTTTATTTTATAAAAGTGGGGATGATTAAAAATTAACATTAGGATATTTTTAGTTAATTAAAATTGTTACTTAAAGTTTTGCATTTACTGTGTTAAAATATTAACACGGTGTTTGTGTCTCCATTTAACATATATCCATATTATGTTAAATGAACACAAAAATATCTGTGGACCGTGAGATATCTGTAAAATTTAACCGAAATTTTTCAACTGCCTACAATATTCCTGACTTGATAGGGAATTTCCTAAAGTACATATTCTTGTTGAAAATTATGCAAATTACGGAGCGAAGAATGAATTAGCGAAGTGTCGCTGACAATAATTAATAAATCATTCCGCCTCGAGCGTCTCGGCTGCACTGATTGTCGACAAGTGGCTCTAATAGCAAAGTAATTAATAACGCTGACGTGGCACGTGTTCGAGTATTATTATGTTACACGCGACCTCGCCATAACGCGTAAGCCAAAGGCATGTTGGAGAAAAGGCACCTAGAGAGAGAGAGAGAGCTTTAAGCTCCTCCAGAGTACATTGTCATCCGCTCGGCTGAACATCGCGCGAGGATCAGGCCTAATGCTTCTGTTCGATGGGATCCCGGTCTTCTGATGCAACTAGGGGAGCGGAGTATTTTATTCTCCATCTCTTTCTGAGCCATAAATGCGTAGCTATGTCTCTCAGCCTCCTAATCCGCTATTTGCGTTTCGCATTAAACGTATTTGATTTACTTGAAATCAAAATAAGTTCGTAAAAAAATGGTAAAACACAAAGGAGAAAAAGATTGTGTGTTTTTTAGTATCGAAATTTAAGAGGGATATTATTTCTCATGTTTCATCCGGAAGTAATCAATGAAACAGACAGAGTGTAGAGGAACCCTTCGAAAAGCACCGACACCTTTTGGGATAACGCAAATCCCTTGATCCTTGAAATATGATGGATTCACTTCATTGAATATCCGGTATCGAAAAGACTTGGACCCTTATGCGTTCGATAGTCTTATACTTTTTGCACACATATACGCTAACATCATATTGTATGAAAATAAGAAATAAAAAGAATATATAAAGAGCTTATAAAGATTTTTTATTTACATGAGAACTAATCAAAATTACTTTATATATTTAATATATAAATTATTTTATATATTTTATATATCAATAAATATATGATATAATGTTGACGAGCAGAAACAATGTGGTCTATTTATTATAAATCCATTAATTTTCTGATAAATAATTTTTGTGTTTTATTTAATAATTGACATGTGGCATCACCTTGGAAAAAACTCCAGAAGAGTACAAATATTTTCCTTCTACCTCAAGCTTGGGATTTGCCGCCTAGCAAAATCGAATCGACGTTAAAAGCCTAGAAGGATAATCTCTGATTCTCTTCTCAAAGAACGCGGAATTCTCCATTAACGGAGAACGAAGTGCATAAGTATTTAACAGCAAATATTATTGCTAGAATTTATTAGAAATATTTATTCTGACAATTTGCATCAAACTCAGCTGTAAAAAATATGTAATGTATTACATAAAAATATGTAAAATTACATAAATAATACGTGTAATTTTAAATGTTTTTTTAGTGTGGAAAAATATTGCAAATATGTTTAGTTCTTCATTCTAAACAAAGTCTCAACTAACGATTCTCCCAAATGAGCAATTTAGCAGCAAATATCCTAGATTTTTATCATCACTAGAATTTATTAGAAATATTTGTTCTGAAAGTTTGCATTGAACTCCGCTGTAAAAAAATATGTAATGTATTACATAAAAATATGTAAAATTACATAAATAATACGTGTAATTTTACATGTTTTTTGTTAATGTTTAGAAAAATATGTTTAGTTCTTCATTCTTGCGAACAAAGTCTCAACGAACGATCCTCCCAAATGATTAGCGAATAATCGATTACTATCAATGAGTCCTAGACGAAAACCACCATCTCAGAATGTATTACATAAAAATATGTAAAATTATATAAATAATACGTGTAATTTTACATGTTTTTTAGTGTAGAAAAATATATTTAGTTCTTCATTCTTGCGAACAAAGTCTCAACGAACGATCCTCCCAAATGATTAGCGAATAATCGATTACTATCAATGAGTCCTAGACGAAAACCACCATCTCAGACGGTGATATTTGAGCCGTTTGCCGTACTGTTATTCGCAATTATCTCGGTCCGTGGGTCGTGGCACGCGTCCGGTCGAGGGGTCTGGTGCGAGAAGACGATCTCCTCTCTTTTTCCCTTCGGTCTGTCTGGCAGGAGCGACAGAATCGCGTCGCGACTAAGGGTGGAGCAGCAGGATTCGATGGTCCGAAGCGCCCGCATTTTGCGCGTCACACGCGTCGCTGCTCGACTAGATTGTTTGCAGAGGCTCTCAAACGCAAGCGTCGTCCAGAAAAAACAAACAAGGTGCGGCCAACTGATGCAAAATAAGCCGCTTTTCATTCATTTCACGCAGGTCTGTTTGATATTCTCTTGCCATTATTCGTAATCATTCTCATCTGGTGCTCATCAGCTGATCTGATGATAAGTATAACTCTTAGTAATCTCTTTTCGATACCACATCGTCAAAGATGACAGCTCAAAATATTTTGATTACTGTGCAAATGACATTTTCTAGATTACATAATTTTCGCATGCAATCTCACGTTTGTTTCATTATTTCTGTAATCGTACTTATATAGAGATCTCGGTTTTCAGCTGCTACAATAAATGATTTGTCTCGGCCGCCAAACGTTCTTCGTCTAGCTATCCAGGGAATCATTTTCCGACTAATTTGCTCCTGCCCTCGCCGTAGTTCAGGAGAAAGAGAGAACGCTAGGAGAACCTGCTCCGAGCAGGCCGTGGTGATATATTATAGGGCTCGGGATTTGTATGGAGCGAAGTGTGTAACTCGGGTTTAACATTAATGCCGCACGATCAATCATATCGTTCATAAGGAAGGAAACATTGTGCCTGGCATTGCTGTTATATTACTCCTATAGAGAATTTTGCAAAATTATATCGTCATAATATCCTATTTTTGTACATCACTTTGTTTAAGATATATTATATGCGATATAGTAATTTTTTATTACCGGAACATAAAAATATTTTATGCGTAACGTACGGATTGAATAAAAAACTATTGGTTTTTTTGGAAAAAATTTGAAAAATATTTTTATGCATTTATTGTCGCGCACGGCTCTTAAAATTTGCCTGTCTTTATATAGGTACGTATAAAACGTTTTATCTTTAAAAAATTAATTACGCAGCGATCTTAGGAATTTAATTTAAAATATATCTTACTTTAAGAGACGTTATTGTTTTAATTCAGCCTGATAAATCTTTTAGAATAATCTCTTTCCGATCGAATAGCTGCAGCGAATGCGATGCACTTTTTATGCTTATACGAACGAACAAATGCGCCGAATGTTTTACATTTACACGAAGCTCGATCTTTTTCAACGGGAACTCATCATCCCGTGTGATACAGCGTTTTTCGCATTCCATGACGAACCGATTTGCGCATTCCGCGAACTATCGATATCAATTTAAATTCCTCCGACGCTGCATCCCCCATGCGTTAAAGCTTCGCGAAATACCGCTGCCCCTATATCGCAGGGTAGTGCACCACCCTCTGTAACCGGGTGTTTCGCTCCCTATTTACTGTTTCCCCTCGACCCTACTGAGAAAAATCGTGTAGAAATGGCTCTTAATTACACCAATCCTATTGAATTCGCTGCTTTATGCAGCAGTGCCGCATACATATACTTAAACATAATAGCAATAAAGTTACAGTGCCTTTTTATCATAATTATATAGCTTAAACTTGGACAATTATATGTTTCTGAATTTTAATAATTTCATATGTGTGGTATTTATAAGAAAATCGTATTTAGTGTATGAGTAATTTAGTATAATATATACCTTCTGCACTGAAAAACATTTTTAAGTTAGGTATTTATTTTAATAAATAAATATGCAATCATTTATTTGAAACAAATAAATATTTACTGTTTTTCTTATATCGAATAAATATTTTTCACAAATAAATATTATTAGTATTGAAATAAATAATTATTCGAATTCAATAATTTTTTTTAGTATCTGAATATCGCTCTTATATAATAAATTTGTAAACGTTTAAGAAGTAATTGCAAAAGATTTCCAGCTATCACATTTTTTCTTCATTATTGTATCATTAAAAATATTTTTATTACTGATAGGTATATGTTATCAGAATTAATATTATATCGTGATTTCTGTCGATATATGTATGTATATTTATACCAGCAGATTTTTCTCCACGATCATCATTTTCACTCCTGGTATTATATAGGGTAATCTCTGGGGAATAAATTCGTCAAGTCAAAATAAGTCGAAAATAAAGAATGATAAAATTACGTTTGAGCCTTCTTTCTTCTGCAGGAAGAAATTCTCTTTTAAATCGTGCTAATTTGTGCATTCAAGTTAATGGCAGATTATTTCAACATCTTATATAATTTCAACCTTGATGTCTATTTATTATTTAATTTATATTATGGTTTTTAACTTAAATAAAAATACATTTTTTGATTATTTGATTGTAACTCTTTAAAGAATTAATATTATATCTGTATATCCTTCAACCAGAGTAGTAAAATTTGTGTTTTCTTGTTAAAAACGGTCCCCGTTAAATTTTTTATGTTAAATATTCAACACATTCATGTATTAATTTAACATACTGTTTTATTAATAATTGAACTTAAATGTTAAATTATTAAAACAACTGACAAAAAATGTAAAAATAACACAATGTGCATCTATTTTTAATTTTACACAATAAATATGTCCTGCTTTATTAGTGACAAGATTTATCTGTTAAAATTTACAGAAAAAATATTAATTTTCTATATTATAATATAAGTAGGGATGATAAAATCTAAAATTAACATATTTTTTGTTAATTTTTACATTAAAAGTATGTTATAATTTTACACAAAATTTATTTTAAATTATTTGAAGTTTTGCATTTATTTTGTATTAAAATATTAACACAATATTTGTGTCTCCATTTAACATATCCATATTATGTTAAATTAACACAAAAATTTCTATGAGCCCTTTGGAACATGTAAGATATCTGTTAAATTGAACAGAAATTTTTCAATCGCGTACTTTTCTGTGTCCATTCTTTCAAAAACGATTCTATATCGACGCACACACTTCGATTGATGTTCTTCAGAGACAGGACGTTTTTCTGGCGGTCGAGGATATAAAGCATCCTAAACCCGATACACGAAGGGCTCTCGAATTTTGTGGCATATAATCTAATAACGAGTTTTTGTCGGCACGTATCGTGCACGCGCCCTTCGGCGACGAGGGAGATGATCACGTGCAGGACCTCGCTTCCTTTACACGGACTACAGACAGACTGGCCTGAGTTTAGTTAGGTCCGCTCCATTGTGCATTACCATCCATTCAAGCTGGTAATCGAATCCTACTGAGATAGCGAACTTTCGCACGTCAAAAGGGAGATTTGCGGTTGACTTTTGGTATTTCGCCAAGCCGCTGCATCATAATCTAGGTCCTCGATTCGACGTCATTTCCGCGAATTGAAATTCATCTCGATACGAACACATTTATTCCGCTTCTCGAATTTTATTGGAAATTAAACACACGACCTAAATAATGCGAAGGATTTATTAAATCCTGCTGCTGCATGGCTTATCAAATTTACGACGAGATCTTCGAAAAACTAATTAGAGAATTTATATAGAAAAAAATTAAAGAGAGTAATAAACATTTAATTATATTTTAGATTAAAAAGAGCGATTTACTGCTTTCTGTCAATTGAGAAAAATTCTATTAAATGCGTTGCACATTTTTTGTTAATACTTTTAACAATTAAATATGACATTTTATTTCATGTATTCAATCACCTTTTAAAAAAGCTGCGTGATAAAAATAACGAATAATAGCTTTATCTAAAAAAAATGTCTTATGGAATCTCATCTTTGGGTGTCACACAAAACGTGACGTAGCACGTGGCACGAAAACGTGACGCAGAGATATCTCTCAGTTTTGAAAGTTACTGTGTATGGGTATACGATTTATTACAAACACCGTGTCAGTGTGTTTATTTCGAGGGTCGCTCGATGGCCGTCGGGCTTCATTGCCGATGTCTGTCGCCACCTTATCTTTGCTCCTCTGCGAGAGTGTATGTTAAATTGAATATGAAATTATGTGGCTTATCGCCCTCGGGAATAGGGACGTGCGATAGTGTTAAAATGCTCCTCCCGACACAGGGGTGTTCGCATTTTTGTTATATTTTTGCCCCATTATCTCAAGACCGTTCTGCATCTCGCGTTTCACATCGACGCGAGTTTTTAAAGAATTTTGATTTATACATTTTTACGTTAGAAAGTGTTTATAAAAGTCTATGAAAAATAGTTTTACTTTATAAATATTTAAAATTATTTATAACTATAAATGGAATATGAAACATTTCTTTTGAATAAAATATAAATTTAAAATTGGTTGAAAAATTATTTTATGATTAAGATTGCGATAGAAAGGTCGTAAAGTGAACCAGATCGACGAAAAAATGTAAATATTTATGTCAGAATATATATTTGCTTCTGTGTTTTGACTGTTACTTTTAAATCTCGAAACATTTCGAGTTATGTCGATCGAATGAAAAGTTTTTCTGTCACATATATATTTATATATATCTCTCTCTCTCTCTCTAAAATACTCTCTATCAAAAGACAAATTCATGTTTTAAACTTGTAAAGTAATACAAAATTGCTTCACAATGCTTTTATTACTTTCATTATTTCTATTATTTTCATTATTCATTATTTTTATTGTAAAGAAATTTTCAAAATGTTAAGAAAGAGAGAATAGAAGAATAAGTATTGATTATTTTTAAAATTAAATTTCCGATTAATTTTCACAAGTATCTTATTGTATTTATAACATTATTTTACATTTTAATATATTTTTACATTTATTGATATTTGTAAAATTTGTTAACAGTCGTGACTCAATTATAAGAATAATTAATTAAATCAAAAAATAATTTTGATTTATCAATAAATAAAATAAATGTTCGATTTAAAAACTTACACGTTTGTCATTCTGGTATTTGAAAAGAATTTAAGCTGTGTATACGCACTTACCTGTTTTCACTTGATACTTTAAGGTCATGGAACAATCCAGTAGGAGCTGTTGCAGAGTCAATCCGCTATCAGGTATTTCCAGATCGAGCAAACGCATCATGTCGGCAGGATGATGAAAATCGAGGATCTTCGCATTTCTATCGTTCGTTGATTTGATGAAGTCTAGCAGAATATCCACTACCTTCATCAAGAATTCTCTAGTCGCCGGATAGCCTTCTGCATTTTGTGGCAGAATGTCTGCGAACAAAATCAGAATATAGCACGAATCTTTTATATATCATCTATCAGATGATGTTGCAATAATTATTATCAATATAAAAATCTAATAAACATTTATACATTTATGCACAATTTTTTTATTCGAATAGTAATATTGTTAGCAATTTTTTCGAAATAAATTGTATAAGAATATTATCTTTACAATATTTTTTTATACATATATTTCTTGATCTTTTTTTTTGAAAAAACGAGTAACGATAATTCATGCGTAATACGATGCAAGAGCTACGTTAACTCTCTAATTGTTGGGATCAAGTGAAATCTCTTCTACAACGATATCGATTAAAACATTTCTCGACAAGATTCCTTTCGGCTGTCATTTTCGTTGATCGACCTACCATCATGACTTAGACGTCATCCTCGAAGATAATGCGCGATTAGAATGATTTCACCTCATCAAACAATTGAAAGTATAGACCTATATTGACACACTCTCACTTGTTTGGTGGGATGACACCATCTTATTCATGCTGTTCTTCCTTCTTCCGCTCGCAATAAGTTCTTCGCTGTCTTCAAATTAATATAACATGCAATGCATTATTTTACAAAAATCATGCTATATTGATGAATATTATATTTTACAAATATATAACAAATATCATTCAAAAGAAGAACAAGAGACAAAAATCTGGAAGATTATTTTACGCACAAAAAAAAACACCTATGTATAGATAATATTATGTCAAATCTGTTATAGATGCGAGACAATATATAGATGAAGACAGGACGAAGTCGTTGCAATGGAACATTTCAATGTACTCGTGATAAATCCTCGGCAAATTGAACTGTCCTTCTATCGCGCAGCGACCATAAAATATCCCATGGAGTAAACCACCCCTCATTGCATTAAGGTGATCCCATGGATAAACAGCCAAGCTACTATGAGACTTCGCTTTCAAATTATTATTTAGCATTTTTAAGAGGGAAAGTATTATAGAAACGAGACTTCTTAAGAGGATATAAAATTGTACCCTTATTTTCTCTTTATTTTTTTTTCAATATATTATTCAGAGACATTAAATATTATTACTTTAAATTATATATTTTTATTTAAAATAAAATTTTTACAAACGCGATATTTCCTAGTTTAATAAATCAAGTGATATTATTTGTTATAAATCTTTGATAATAAAATATTTAAGCAAAAGCATTTTAAAACAATCTTTGTAAATAGATTTGTTCGTCAATATACTTTTTTTCGTAAAAAATGCTTCTCTTCGCTCAATAAACATATTCTTCGTTAATGATTGTAAAAAGAAATTGTGCTAAATAAAAGTTGAATGAAGAAAGGAGGGCGTACGAAAACTTATAGTAAATCGCCTTGAGCCTATGGTTAGACAAGGGAAATCCCCGGCTTCCAACAGTCAGATCCAGCTAATCCAGCTCCATCAATCTAATGTCCAAAGACCTCCGCTTTTTTTCTCGAGGTTTATAACACTCTTCGAGATAAGCAAGCTCGGAGTTATCGCAAGATTTAATTAAACGTTAAAATAAATATTGTCCAATCGGTTGCTTCATCTATGAATTATTTCAATTGAAGAAATAATAGATTATGTATACTATATAAAAATTCGTGGATAACATTTCTATTAGATAAACGCGATATTAGTTTACATATGTCTCCTCTAATTGTAATATTTCAATCAGTCATCTCGCAGATCCTGCCAACTATATCCCTCAATTCGGACTCAATATATATCTATCTTCGCGTGTAGTCATTCGGCATCAGATGCGTCTAGACCCTCGCATTTCGACTTTAATCAACGCGTCTTCTGGGGATTGTTACACGCGGCAATTAGTCACGCCGATTTATGAGCCGGATTACAAGTCTTAATTTATAGTAATACCGCTGCAGATTTCGCGTAACGATGCAACGAAATTTTTTTAAATGCGCACACGCGTATATATTATTTGGAAAAAAAAATAAAACCACTCGAGAATCCATTAGAAATAATCCGAAATTCTGCGGGCGGCACGCGCATGTCGTTATCGCCCGCTAACACTTCCCAAACGGCGAAGATGACAAACCCCTTTCGCATCCCTGCGGCGTGTAATCTGTCCTCAGCCACTCGGCGTCTACCAACCTCTTCGGAATAATTCTAAATCCTCTATTATTATGCACCCTTCCGACCCACAAGCCTCGCGAAATCAGGACAATATTGTGACGCTTGGATTTTGCCCCCGAAAAGCCAAGTCGCGTAATGTAAAATGTACCCACGATATGATTTGTCCTTCTTGAATTTTATACACCGCACACAGTTGAAAAGCTTCTGTTGAGTTTAACATTTCCCAAACGGTCCACAGAAATTTTTGTGTTAATATGGATATATTAAATAAAGACACAAATACTTAATATTTTAATGAAAAATAAATGCAAAACTTCAAGTAATTTTGTCAATTTTATGAAATATAAAGAAATATTTTTTGCATGTGAAAATTATTTAAAATAAATAAAATATTACTAGAAGAGATGTAATTAGTTTTATACGATTTTATTAAATTTTTTTATAGTAAATAATTTTTGTGTAAAATTAACATAGTATGTTATTTTACATCTTCTTTTTAATAACTTAACATTTAAGTTCGATTAACACAACAGCATATGTTAAATTAACATATGAATATGTTAAGTATTTAACACAAAAATTTTAACCGTTTTTTGCAAGAAAACACAAATTTTCCTACTGTGCAGCCGAATGATGACACATTATTATATGTATATAATTTATATACAGAATAATCGAAGAAGTATTCATGCAGCGCATAATTATGTTGGAAAATGAAACTCTCTCGTGCAATAATATTCAAATAAAAATTGATGGATTAAAAATTCTCATCACTTACCCGAGTACTTCAAGTTGCAATGCTCCTTAGAGAGCGAGTAGGTGTTTTCGGAACTCATTAGTCTGGTGGGTGAATGCGTTCGTGCGAAATTCTGAAATGCAAAATAACGAGAATTTTTCTTCTTCTACATTGTACTCTGTCATTTAAATAACATTCGTATAACATTTACATAACATTTCATTGTATAACATTTATATAATTATTTATTTAACATTTGCATTAGGCGGACTGTCCTGGCAAATATTAAAGTCGAATGCTTTATCGAGAAGCTTTTTTTCAATCAACAGAAATTTAATTTGCTCACATAAAAAAATATAACCATGTCAAACAATATTACAAGTATCGATTGTCGCTTGCTAGAAATCAAGAAACTAACACAATTAGCCTATTAAATGAAATTACATGAAAATCACTGATTCTGGATTTCGTCGACAATGTTTTCACCAACACTATTTTCGTAGATACTCAACTCGATCAACAGCATGTATTAATCGATGTAAACATTCACCACATTCACACCGAAAAAATCCATGTACTTTTACATGGAAATTATTTGTTCAAAATTATTACTGTAATTTTTTTTTCATATTTTTTTAAAGTGAAAATACCTATTAATGTAAAAATATATGTAAAATTACTATTTTTGTACAAAAATCACTTGTAATTTTGAAATTAGTATTTTTATTTTATTTGAACTTTATTTTATAAGCAATTATCCATTTTATTTACAACATTATTTTATAGCGTGTATACATTACTATAGCATTTCCTTTGTGTAATTTCATGTTCAGTGGAATATTTTTAATCTTGAAAATATATAAGAATAAATTTCATATGAAATTACATATAATCTGTAATCTTCCATATGAGTAGCAATATTGCGAAAAAACCCAGCATAATCATGTAGTTTTACAGAAATATTTTTTTCAGTGGCACTTCTGTGTATCATCCTGTTGAAAATTTAAGTAAAATATCTGCACAAACGAATAATTGACATGTGTTACCAGAGACGGAGATCAACATTTGATGAAATGAAAGTATTTAATGAAGACATTGTCGAGCTCTCTCACTATAAGCGAACAGTCGCGATGAACGTGAATATGTGGATGCCTTACATATAAGTATTCCTTGATTGCTGTGATTTTAGTGCCGATCATTTGCACATTGTCCATGTCTCTGCTTGTGTCCCTCGCCTCAACAGTCCCTACAACAATCAACAACAGGTTCCGCTTCAGTCACGACGTATTCCGGCGTCGAGTCTTCGGCGAGTTTTAGCGAGATTGCGAAATTGTTAAGCGAAATTGCCATCGCCTTGGCAGCACGATAGGCTGAGCGACCGAAGAAACATGGACAGAGAGCAGATTTTTTTGTCGTCTTTCTTAAATTAACTTCTAAAACACAAAGCATTCTCATGACTACATTGAAAAATTGCAAGATTCAGTGCAAAACTACATTTTTTTTCTTAATCAAAGTATGTTAGTTTCAATGATAAAGCAATAAAAGTAGTAGTAGTATGTTTATTAGCAGCCTAGATACATATAAAAAGTAGGCTACTAATATTATATATAAAGTATAAAAAGAGTCATATATAGAAAGTGTAAAAAAATTAAGCATTACAAGATTTAAATAGTAATTAATAGAAAGATATCAAGAAAAGAAAGCTTGGATTATAAAAAAGAAAAAATATTTACATAAAGAAGAATTCGAAAAAAGAACATTCTACATTTAACGCTAAAAATATCAAAATAACAGAGAACGTAGAAAAAGAAATTAAAAAATGATAACATAAAGTAATATTAGTAGAATTTAATATCGAATAAACATTTTTATTAAGATGTGAATAGAAAATGACTGAAAAAGATCTTGAATGAGTTACAGTCATGTTTTTAAGGATTTAGTCAAAGTTTTTAGAGAAAAACAATTATAAAAAGAAATAAATTCTGATAAATGAAGACGTCGGAGAAGTAGATCAGTTTTAGTTATTTGACAAACAGTTATCGAACTATAAAGATTGATGATCTCGCAAATATAATGAAATTGTGAACACTAATTGTAAGATTGAAGATAAGAAACACGCACGCATACACTCACACATACAGCTAGTAAAAGTTAATTAATTTTCTCAATTATAAGAGCGTAAAATAAGCAAATTTTTACAAATTCTTGATCTATTGATTGCACTTTATGTTTTATGTAATTAAACGATAGTCTTCATGATTTTCTTGAGCATCACTTTTTGTTCTCTTAATCAATAGAGTGGTCCTGGGATATTCAGAAGCTGAAGAAAATTTAAAAGACATTCACCGATTATACAATAATAAAACATGCAGTATGCGAAAGATTGAATGATTATAAAAAACATGTACGCTATTAATGAATGTGTTCGAAAAAAAGATATATGTTGCATTAAAATGTTGAATGCTGTTATTATCCACTTTATCAAATCGAGTCAAAATTTTTTTTAATTTTAGGAGTAGAGGAACTCACGTATGTAATCTATTAAACTAAAATATCGAAAAGATAGACAGTTGTTAAAAATGTTAATTCAATAATTTTTGATATATTACTTCAAGATATCGTTAGTAATAGTTTTTTATTTTGCGCTTTAAATTTTCTCTTACATATTTACAAATTAAACAGTTTTTAACTTAAATTATATTCAGCAAAAGTTTGTGCTTTTTGATCATTTTGATAGCCGATCAGTCTTCACTTTTTTAAATTTGGAGGAACTCCTATAAATCTATAAATAAATGATTTTGTTCAGATTTTGTTATTATTTAATAAATAATATATTTTTCTATTAAAAAAAAAAGATTTTTATCGCACTAAATAATAGATATATAATCGAACGAATTATAGATCTATTATCAAATATGATATCATTTATGTAACAATACGTATAATAAAAACATTAAATTGCACTATAATTAGCTAAAGCTACGAATTATTTAATAAAAATGAATACATTGATTATCACATGACACAAGAAAGAAAAAAATCAGTCGATGTTTTAAATATTGAGAATTTCAACTAGGATTATTTTGCTTCTATAAGAATTATACACATTATAAAATAATATTCTCACAAGTAGCAACACATTACAATTTTATTATCAACTAGCCAATCTATTTATTCTCCAAATCCTTCCGACAGAAAAATTTACACTTTTTAAAATCCGGTTTTTACTGTACACAGAGAGAATTTACCCTGAAAATCATGGTAATCATGGACGATATGGTATTGGAAGAATTTTATACGAATTTCTCTAATTAATATTTACCACAATAAAAATAATAATATTTACCACAATAAAATATAAAATATGTTCGATGAATTTTACTATGTGCATAGTAAAATTTACTATGTACATATTAATATTATTTATTATGATAAATATTAATCAAACCATGATTACCATGATTTTCCGAGTAAATTCTAAGAGAAAATTCTCTCCGTGTACTTTTTGAAAAATCTAAAATCTAACTTATCAAGTTTCGAAAGCATTCCTCGACAATTCTAAAACACATACATGAAAAATTGGCTTAAAAATGAAGAAAACGACTCTACTCACTGATGTAACTTTCTCATCCCGTACTCACCTAATCCCGTTTGCTTCTTCGCCGAGTCTTCTTCGCGGCCTCAGTGAGGGCTAAAGTTTCGTCTCGGAGCGAGCGTAGGCTTTAAGGGTGGAATGGAAGGCCGACGAAGTGGCACAGCAACGACGGGCTTCGGGGTGGTTTCCAAGGGACTGCTTCGTGCCGAAAACGCCTGGACGATTCTCGAGCTTCGGCCTGACTCGGCCTGCCTCGAGTCTGCCTGACCCAGTTTCATTTCAGCACAACCTACGCAGAGTCAACCCTCTCCAATGGGGGTGCTTTCGCGTAGGCGTGGCCGTGTCCGGTCGCAACTGGCGGGAGTGATGCAGGGGGATGAAATGCAAGGGTGGAAATACAGCGGTGGATAGCAGGGCGTGTCGCCATACCGCCAATCCCGGAACGAACGTCATTTTTGACGTCAGAGGGAAGAAGAGGGTGCAAGAAACAGATAGAAAACAGGTTTGTCAATTTCTCTTCTTGTTGGTTTTTTCGGGGTTTTAGACTTCCCTCTTTTTGTTTATCCTAGTCGCGTGCGATTTTCTTGGGACATATATAACCGACACTTTTGTATGTTTATATTCAATTTGCTGTCTCAGAAAATTCCTCAGATATAGGAAGATTCTGAAGAATTCTCGACCGAATCGAGAAATAAAAATCTTGGTGCCTTTGATGCGTGGATATATGGAGAGAGATTGAAAAAGATGGTCTTAGGAAATAGCATGTTGGGATTTAGAAATTTCGAGATGTGCGTATACTAACAAATATATAATGATTACTAATACAATTTCATGCACTTGAAAGTGTTTGATAAAATTATAAATGTGCAGAATATAAAATTATAATCCTCCCTTATCTTCTTGCTTTATATGTATTTATGGCGTTTTTTTTTTATTAAATATAAAAGGCATATAACAGAACAGCAGCTACATTTAATTTTACAATTAGAATTCAACTGTAAATGAATGTAATCTCATCTTATTACAGACTATAAATCTGAATTAAAATGATGAATCTGTCATATCGATTTACGATATAAGAATGCTGTTGAAGTGTTAAAGTACATATATCGTTAAAATGTATCCGGAACAGAAAGGGAACGCTCATTAGGTTGTGCAACGGGCTACCATCCAGAAGAACTTAATTGCTAATAGTCCCGATTTCTCTTCGAGGAGGAAAATGTCGCGACGCCTGCGTCGTCTTCCGCCGACTGGGGTGGGTCAGGAGCGAACAGGTGAACAGAGAGGAGGATACTGAAAGAGGAAGAGACGATTATGGCTACAACGAGACGGAGGGGTTGAAAGGACAAAATGGACGGCAGCCAATAGGGTGCAGGAACAAAATGGCTGTCGGTGAATTTAATCAATACCGTCCTCCGTCCTTCGTCGTGGGTGGAGGACAGGACGAGACCCAGAAAGGGTCAGGAACGTAACTAGCGTGGTACCGCACGTATATATATATATATATATATATATATATATATATATATATCTTATTGAGGTCGATATAGTCCTCGTCTCGTGTAAGCGCGTAAATCCTGTACGTGGGCGCAACTCCTCGTAACATGAAGAACTTACTATTTCCGTCGTGTCAATGCCTCACGAACAAGGAAAGGAAAGGCTGAATCTCAAAGTTAGGTGCTACATATAGCATTTTTGTAGTTTGCAAAAAAATTGATATATTACAGGTGTATATTAGAAAATTTACAAAAATAATTTGTTTGAATAATAATGATGTATTTTTTATTATTTAATTGCTATATTCCAAAACTATGAAAATTATTGCCCAATTAATTGAATTATTACATTTTGTCTTTGAAATTATATAATGTAAACATAGGAATCACGTATTGTTAAAACACGTATTATGTTTCGAAGTGTTCAAAATAAAAGATGGTCGAGCATATCAGATGTATATGATCAAAGAAAATTTTTATATTTATATTTTATTGACATTTTAAATTAGATATTTTGATTAACCATATTCACATCATACAAATATGAATTATATAATAAAATTAAACCATTATTTGCCTCAAATTAATTCTAATAATGGTTTCAATTTTTTAGCCTTTATAATGTATGTTTAGCATAACCAATTTTTTTTTTCAATCTTCTAAATTCTATTATTGAAATAATTCGTCCAAACTCTAAAAGATTATATTGTATAGGTATGTATAAAATACTCATAAAATTGATTCGGTTGAACATCGTTGTTACAAATAAAAATGATCAAACACTTGCAATAATAAATTCTTATTTCCACGAATACTTATTTCTTAAAACTCTTCCTTCCTTCCTATTTTATGCTTTGCACAGATTGTCATGACATATCAGTAAAAAGAATATTATTATCACTTTAAAGCCTCAAGATGAAATTTTTCCGAGTAGTAACTATCTTAAGGTGACTATTTTCAGGGATCTAAGTTATTTTACATAGCTGACAGAGAAAGGGAGAGAGGAATAGATCGGTCGATTTAATGGAACCATGGGTAGCATCGATCCCGCATCCACCTGCCACTCTTCAAGGAGGCTAACTCAGCCACGAAGATGCTGACAAACTTCCCGTTCTTCATCTTCCAAAAAACTTTAAATTGAATTGACATTCTGCCCTGCGCTCGAAAAGAGAATTGCCGTGTAAACATATATTGTTGCTGAAAATTTGTGGCTCGGCAATATTTTATGCTTTATATAATATGTCTTTGTTGTCTTTCAAATAAGCTTATAAAGCTTCTTTTATAGGCAAACATTCCAATCTCTGATAAATAGTTCTCAAGAATTTTTTAAATAACTAAACTTTATATTTTATAATTTTATAAGTTTATTATATTTTATTTTATATAAGTCTTCAAAAGTTGAAATTTTATTTTGTAATTAATAAATGCTGCTTTTAATCATTTTTAATTTTTGCCGTTATTCTATACGCGTATGAGTCTTAGTAAAATATATAGCATCTAATTTTTACTTTTTATTTTTTTTAGATTTATAATTTTTTACTATTTTCACAAAAGATGAAATAAACGTACGTATGCCAAACTCGATATATAATATTTTGAATAAAATATTGTAGGTATTGGCAGTAACTTAAAATGAGAGAGATTAAAACTATTCAATGTATATATTTTTCATACACTATTAAATAAGCATATTTCATCACTTATTTTATTAAGAGGTTTTCACACACACATTATCTGTAAAACTATTTTTCCATTTATTTGATGCATATCAAATCTTTTATAATTTATGCATTCCTTTATTATTAATTTATTACGCAATAAATATTATATATGTATAAATTATAAAATTTAACAATTTCTTTGAGAATCAATTAAATTTATAGAAATTTTTATAATAAAGATAAATATAAAAGAAGTCAATTATTGAATCTTTAGATATAAAAACTAATCTAATTATGATGCATTTCAAAATAGAAGAATTAAGTAATAAAAAAAATTGGTTAATAATTTTTTAAATATATTCTTAATTAGATTAGTAATAATGTGTAATTAGACTTTAACTAGACGATTTAGTACTATGATATAAATATTAATCAATCAAAAATTTAATTAGCAAAATATATGCCAAAACAGCAAAATATGTACAGTTTACTTTTAAACCAACCAATTTTAAACTTTGAAACGAACGAATTGAAGCAAAGAGTGTTATATTATAGTGAATATTGTATCAAAATAAAGAATTAGTTTCTCAATTTATATCCCTATTATACTGATTAGTTTATGATTATATATTTTCTATATTTCTCTTCGTAATTGTAGAAAGTAAAGATAATATAAATAAATATTATTATACAATATTATATTTATTATAATAAAGGATAAAATGAAAATAGAACAATATATATAACATCTGAATAGACAAAATATGAATAAATTGTTAAATTACTGTTATACATTTTAAAAATAATTTTTTCTTCCTCTCGTATGTGTGTCTTAAATATATTCTTATAGATTTAATTTATTATTATCGATAAAATTAAATTTAGAATTAATATATCATGTAAAATATATACAGATATCAAGTGAAATATACACAAAGGTATGATAAAATTACAATTACAAGAGATATAATACAATTAATAATTAAAATAATGTGATAGTATTTTAATTGAAATCATTGTAGATTATTTCTATGAAATCATTAACAGTATTATATTGATTGATTAATTCTCAAGTACACATACAATTGTAGTGTATCTTTTATATTAAAAATTTCTAGTGTTTTATTACTCTCTAGCAACATTAAAGATAAGTATTTATATTTCTTTTGTGTATAGAAAATAAAAAAGTTCTTCAATACTAAAAATCAATTAGAGAATAAGCAAATAGAGAAGACGCAAGAAATTGTTGATTATAGTTTTCGAGAAATATATAACAGGCATTTTTTAAATATATATTTTTATAATATTTTTGTAATTTTATTTATCAATTAAACAAGAGGTCTGAAACAAATTAAAATATTTGGCATTTTTATGATTATTACTTAAATAATTATTGAGGATATAATTTGTATTATATCGTCGCGAATATTTCGTTTAAGTATTAACGTATATCGTTTAAGTATTTATAGGTATATCAAGAATTGTGTTCTGGTTGAAATCGATTCTTGTCGACCTTTTTCTTTGTGATAGCAAGCAATAACAGTACTTGTTATGATTTTGTTGAGTCGAATCGGCAACGGTTTTAGGACTGTACGAAAGATATCTCGCATTAGGCGCCAACTTGAGGGCGCCGAGCTCAGAAACTGATATTTTTCTTCTAGAATAAAATACTATAAATGAATTTTATACATATTTATATCAATTTTTTTATTTGAAAAACTCTTTTTTGATTATTTGATAAAATCTCTCTTGCATCTATTAATCTCATACAAAATTGATTATTGTAATCATTATCTTAAAAATGTTATTAACACTTTATTACAAAACAATATACATTTACTGTTAAAAAATTTGAAACAGATTTGTTCAAATAATTTCAATTTATGCAATTTTATTTATTGCATTATTTGTATAAATATAGAAGAGAAAACAAACTTTTATGTATAGATATATTTCAATATAATTATCTTTAGTAAATTCTTTTTAATATTTAGTACTTATTGTAAGCATGTAGAAGAAATAAACTAAACTGTTGAATTTTAATTAAAAACAAGAAAATTTCTTTCCCTTCTCCTCGTTGAAAAATATATGCACAAGAGAAATGAATCCTTACAGGTAAAAATAAAAAGAAAATGCCAAATATATAATTGCGTCGGGTTCTCCCGACGTTAAAGACGGCCCTATTTAGGATCGAAGCTATAAAACCATCAGCCTGCGTGCCGGAAAGGATACTTGCGTTTGAGACATCGATGTGAAGTGTGGAAGAAAGTCACGTTCGCCGAAATTTTCAAAGTGAAATCAAGACTGATAGAATCGTCTCGCATATGTGAATTTTTTCAACATCGCTATAAAATTCTCCTGCAAACCAGCGGCTTCATATTTCGAAGAAAAGTGTGTCTTCCTCTTCTTTTCAAAGTGAGTAAAAATTTAAAATTATTCCCTAGTATAATAACCTTCGCGGAAGTCCGAGTGTTCTATATATAAAATAAAATTCGAAAAAAAAATTACAACTAATTTTCCAGCACAGCATATCCGAAAGATATTCAGAGAATATCCAGAGGATATTCGAAACATCCTGAGGAATTAAATTAAAATTTAATCAACAATTAAAAAGCAATAAGAGCTAATTAAATTTAATTAGCTCTTATTGCCTTTTAATATTGTTGATTAATTTATTAAAAAACTTTTACAAATTATATTAAAATTTAATATTTTTTTATCTACATTAAAAATAAAATTAAAATTAAATGAAACTTCAACAGTTCAATTTATTTCGTAACATTCACAGAACATCCTGAGAATGTTCGAATAAATATCCTATGAATATCCTCTGATTATCCTTGAGATATATCGTGCTATTAGAGTTATATGAAGAATCGTCGCGCGAGGCGAAATAGTTTCTTCCTCCCGGTTCTATCTTTAGCCTGCGCAACCCCGAAGCCTACACAGAATCCCGTCTCGTTCTTCCCGAGTATATACACGCGGGAGTGCGGTGGGACTCCAGGAATTCCTCATTGCGCCGATCCCTTCCGACGCGCTCGGCACGCTGAGTCCCACATCCCCTTTCGGAATATTGATTAGCCATCATTTTCAGATGACGCCTACATTCTGCTGGGTGTTCCTGCTGGCGTGCCTGGTGGGCCGCGCCGCGAGCATGCCGCAGCCTCTCGTGGTGGACGCCTGCGCCCTGATCTGCAACCCCGGAGCGGAGACCGAGTCCGAACGCGAGCGGGATCCATCCCTGTATCCCCGATATCCGAAGGTGGACTGTAGCCGTCAGTCCGACAAGGATGAGAGCCAGGCGTGGGTTATCACCAGCAACTGCTTGAAACTGTGCAATGTGGAGTTGTCGGTTCAACTGGAGGTTAATTGTTTCGCTCTGAGATCGTCGCTCGGAGCGAACCTGGGTTGCTACTGTGAGGCTCTGACACCCCTGAGCCCGAACACGATCCGCCTCAACGAGGATTGGAAAATGAACTTCTTGGTGAAGGAACTGTCGAACGACCTCCTCAGCATCGTCACTGACTCGCCTCTCGATGAGCTGATCATATGCGATATTCACAAAGAATTGTTGAACAATACTAAGCTGGCGACAAATAAATTTAGCAATTGTTATCCCAAGGACGAACCTGTTAACGAGAAAATAATAGAGACAAAAGAAGATAAAAAAGAAGATGGAGGAGAAAACAAACAACAAGATAAAAAACAAGAAGAATCGGAACATCACATTAGTGGAAAACCCGATATATTTAGACCTGATGGATCACCAGGATCAGTGGATGATTCAAAACACAAAATGGTAAGACGATCGACATCAAGACCCGACTCAAGACCAATAGATGAGGTCGTAACATCTCGTGACGATGAGGATGAAGAGGAGGAACAAGAAAGAGAAAAGAAAGTAGAAGTAGAAGTAGAGGCAGAAGAAGAGAAAAAACCGCAAGGTCCCACGGAAAAAGAAGAGGTTAAGATGCCTCTTCCCGTAAACGGAAATCCAGCGCCGGAAGAAGCAACCGAATGCGAATTATGCTTGTCTAAGTGTGAGCGTCCCGATTATAAAGGCGTATGCGACTGTAAGAACATCAAGGAAACGTGTGCCAAATACATAAAACAGCAAGTAAGTTGAATTTGCACAGCTTGCGTAGATTAATCGGTTCATGATGACTCGTTACGTTAAAACCAATTCTAGCCGTAATCGGGAAGACTCGTCAGAAAGAGATGATCATTTAAAGCATGTACAATAATATTCTTTTTGTTACTTGAATTGAGTCTATCTAATTTCGTGATTCTTCGTTTATAAATAATTTTCATAGGTTTCATAAATTAAAAAAATTATTATTTAGTAAAATTGTATGATTGTGTGATTTTAGGATTTGCTTAATTTGTTATTAAATGTTAACAACGTTTTATTCTATAGCATTATATAATAATAATTACAGAGCGTCAAATATATTGGTGATTATTTCGTTTTCGTCAAAAAGAAAAAAAAGGAAAGAAATTTGCTATTTATATACATATTTTTATATCTGCTTTGCTTTTTATATATACGATTTAGACTTTTTTATTTTAAATTGTATATTTATTAAATTATATTTTTATATGTATTTATATTTTTACTGTCAGTTGCGTATAATTTTAATTTGGATAAAATTGAAATAAAAATATCTATTAGAAATATAAGAGAGTATAAAAAATAAATTACATTATACATAAATTAAATATACTAAATTGTGCCACACAACGCTCGATATGTTATTAACACATAAGCTATAATTGCGAAATATTTAGTTAATAATACAAAACATAAGATTTTGCTTACCGTCTAACATGGATATAATCGCTTTAGGCTTAAGAATTCTACACAAGGTTCAGTTCACACGATTCGCATTATATTTTATCCCGATCTATATATGTAGGATCGATATGCAGAAAATACAAATCAATTTTCATTATCAATCCCGACACATAATTCGCGGGTTTGTTCTCAAATAACATATGTATATTTTTCTAAAGAAATATATAGTAATGCAACAAAAGAGCGGATATTATATGTAGATATGTATTAAATACGTTTTTTATTCATATCATTATATATGTTTACATTACTATTATAGCATGTTAATAAACAATTAATAATGACAATAATATAATTGCATTCGAAAAAATATTATCGCACATTTTTATGACACAATTTTATCACATTAAAACATATTACGATTGTATTCTAGACAAAAGGAATATATATCTTATATTTTGCTTATTAACATCTTTTAATAAATTATTTTTATAATAATAAAGAATGATCTTGCGACAAAAATTTCATCATTTTACAGAACTTTATGATACGTATGTATATTATATATATATATATAGAATTGCAAATAAAATTTCAGTTTTTTTAAGAAAATTAGATGAATTACATTTATGTTAATAAATCCAGTCGACGAACTTGCGACGTGTGAACGGAACATCAATGTGTGATATGTGTATTATGCAATAAAATCTATTTATATGTGTGCGCGTACGAAATGCACCGTGCATTGTCGCGCTATGTACGTAGTTTTACCCAAAGCAAAATCGCGATAACTTTTATACGAGAGAGAAAGTAAAGTATATAATGATTAAATGAAACGAGTATACGCGAACGACGAAACAAAATCCACGTCTTCCAATTTTGTAGTTCGAAACAATAATCGGCGGTTACCGCTTTATACGATGATATTATAATATATAAGCAGGGAGCGATTGTAAAATATATAACATTCGTTGGATTAGATAATTATTCATTGTTTAGTGCAATAAGTATCGGCATGATAATCGACATCGATACGTCGTCGATCGAACAATTATTATCTCGAGAAATCAAACCGTGTTTAGATCGTACAGCGACTTGTCGACGACGTGTTTGTTTATATCGTGCCGAAAGAAAAAGTTGTGACACGACAATAAGAGGTAGATTTTAGTATGCCTGTACGATGTTTTTTCAATCGTATTGTGCTTTCGATTTTATCCATCGATATAAACGCGATCGCATTCTTCGTCGATTTGATGAATTTTTTAATATAATATCCGAGAGTTATGTATCGAATGTTTAGAGAGAATGTGACTATTATAATGTTATTGTATATATACATTATACTCATATGCGGAGATATATTTATATGTATCTCCGCATATGAGTATATAAAATCGATCATCGAGAGCGTGATTAAAATTTGGCTATAATAAACTTTATATTTATCTCGTCGTAATATATAAATTATAAATTAGGATAATTATTGAATTACGTATTTATATAATATTTATATAATTATTTAATTATATGTGTACATAAATATCAATTGTATTAATATAAATATACAAGGTGTCTGAATTTCCGCGTATATCTATATTAAAATAATATCAGAAACAGAATATATGAGAAGAATGTCAAATTCGATATTTATAAATATCTATTAAATATACAAAACTTATATAAAAATGAATTTCTTTGTATAATTATGCGATATAATATGCGAGCAATACTTTAATAATTTAAAAGATTTGGAGGCAAAATAAAATAAGATGTATGTAAAAAGTTTTCGAAATACTTTAGATAGAGTGCTCTCCAAATTATATTTATACTTACTATTTATGATAAAAATGTAAATAATGTACACACGAGACAAATAAATTTAATGTATACTTGATGCTTTGTCATACATATAAATAATATATACGTATAATAACACAAGATTTGTTGCAATAAAAATTTCGAAAATTCTACTATTCTAATATTATTACTTTGTTAATAAAAATAAAATATTTTATAAGAATAATAATCCAATAAATTTATACAATATTATCATCGTTCGAAATAATCCTTTCTAAAATACTTCGAAAGTATTGATTATTTTCCTTCGTACCGTTCGTCAAAAGAGCAGATATCTTTTATCAGCTGATAGTAAGCATTTCACAGAAAATATAACAGCAACAGATATATATTTTTTAAAAAATAGCATTTGTTGATAATATTTGTAAATAAGTAAAAATAAACATTTAGATATCTAATTATTGTAACCTGTTGTGTAACAATAATTTTCTATAATTTTATTATTAAAAACAATTAAAAAAATACTCTATAAATTATGTTCTAATATATAATAAAAAGAGAGAAATACTTTATATTTTTTTCTATTCTAATTTATATCTTTTTAAAATTATGATAAAATTGATGCAATCAACAAAATGTTATTACGTTAGATAAGGAATTACTTAATGATTCCACTGTTGGCTTTACATTTTCTCACAATAAAATAACAAAATTCAAATATATTAATAATAATATACGCACAATATATTTTCCAGTCAATTATTTAATGAAAAATATTGTGCAGATATTGATCTTAGTCTATAATTGTGTTATGATTCTCAATGCATGATTTAGCAAGGAATTCTATTTCCCTGAAGTAAAAGGCAATCAGGAAGGTCCTCAATTACATTACACTCTCTGATAGCTTCTCGTCTTTTTTATATCACACACTGCATCTCTATAGAGCAAGGATTCTCTTATAAAAGCCAAGCCAGCCGTCGAAGCATCAGTCGAGCTCCATCTACTTCCCGGATACAACTCATTTCAGGTGCAAGTATTATAGATACACTATTTTTAATTGTGAAATAACTACCGATCTGCATGATGTCTCTTTCCTCTTGATTTCTGTAATGTATTTCCTATTCTCGTAGAAGAATGTGAACCTGTAAGTGAATTTAATTTATTGCGAAAAATATTTACGATTTCAATTAATTCTATAAATATTCCAAGTTCTTTTAATATACTTTTTTGTAATGTTTCTCCGCGCAAACTGGTCATCATCGTATATTACGAATTTTGATATTTTACGACAAATCAATATCACTGTTGGACCAATTCGTGACGTTACTTGCAAATAATGTAGGTTGACTGCGTTTGATGGAGACATTTGTCTTCGAGTAAGTTTCTCGAGTATAAAAGCTCGTAGCTTTTGCCTTGTTTGTAACATTCAGTGACCAGAAATCGTCTAAGAATCAAGCAAGTTTCTTCGTTCGCAAGTAAGCTTTTTTATTTTCACGTAGACATTTTAATGCGAATCTTTTCGAAGTTTATTCTCGTCGGAGTGTGATAATAATTATTAAAGTTTTCAGAATTATAAATTATCTAATAATAACTTTTTTTATTTTTATATTAGTTGGAAGCAAACCAAATCATCGGCATGATTTCCATCCGTCTTACTTTCGCCCTCGCTATTATCGTGGTAATCTTCGCCTTCAGCGCAAATGCTGCCTACAAAAAGCCACCCTTCAATGGTAGTATATTCGGAAAACGATCCAACACTGTAACTGGTAAGTATAATTTATATATTAATTGTATTAATAACTTTGCTTTTAGTAAAATATTCTCGAAAGAATTTAACTTTATAAAATAAAATATTTGTTTATAGCCAGTTTGATTTTGACCTTTAATTTACCAATATTTTATATTTTAAAATTATAATTTTATTTTTATTTTCACAAATCACTTGATAAAAACTCAAAGAAGAGTCGAAACGTTGTGATTTAATAAATAATATTTGCCAGTGCGGTCGAGAGAAGAGTCTTACTTTTTTTTTAAATTCTGTCTGGCGATTCTCAAATATCTACGTTTTTATTTTATATTTTATTATATCACTGGCGACTTTTATAAATAAATCTTGCCTAATTTACAAAATAAATATTTATTTTCATCAAATTTACATGTATCGTAAGAAAATGTAAAGCCAACTCCATCTGTCTGCATTCGACTACAAGAATATCAACTGAGGATATTTTTTATTACATATTACACCATAAAAAAGTTTCTTAAAATATATCAAATTTTGTGTGTTCTTTCATTTTTATTTAAGTAATGTCTTTTATAATTTTAAAACAAAACAATCATATAATTAAAAATCTATAATTCTATAATATTTCTTACAATCTATTTTTTTCTTGCTCAAAATTGTATTTAAAATTTCTTTGCGCTAATACATTTTTATAATAAATCATTTGTTTATCACAATATTTTCAGACTATGAATTTATCAGTCGTGCTCTGTCAGCTATTTGCGAAGTCGCCAGCGAAACATGCACAGCTTGGCTATCTCGTCAAGAATCCAACTGAGGATGAATAACCGACCGAGATGATTCACCCCTTTCGCCGACTGATCAAACAATGAAATAATGTAATTAATAATCAAGTTCCTGCAAAGGCATTTATAATCGTGTGCTTGAGTCACACTGTTCTCAGTAATAGTTGCATTATGCCTCCCACCATATCTAGTTGTAAACTTATATTTAAACACTATTGTGATTACATTTACTTTGTATTATATTTATTATTGTATTTACAATATTTAAAATTCCACGATTTAGCTATGTTTATTAGAAGCATCATAAATAAAATATGATGATTTCAAAAGCTAATTAATATTATTTTCAATCTTTTTTCCTTTGATCTCCCGTTTCTAGATATGTTTGCGTTGACAGCTAATATTCATTTTATTTTTTTTTTATTAGACAATAATATATTCCGATAATTTTTCAATTATTATAAGATATTCCCTATGCTAAAAAATCAAATATTTAAGACAGACAATAATTTATTTAACAGACTCTTTGGTTTACGTAATTTATATGATCGTAAAGAGTTCGTTGAAACCCTTTTAAATGTAGATTGAAAGATTTAGTATGGAAAGCACATACTATTCAGCTGTCTGGATAAGGGTTATTGTCTAAAAAGGCGCATACAAATTGACTGGAAAAGTATTGACATATATTTCATTTAATTGCGCATATGTAATTTATAACACTTTTGAAGTAAAAAAAATAGATTTTATATTTATACATAAAAATATTTATAATTACTTAACTGGTGGTATATTTTAAGAAAAAATTTTATTGTTGTAATGTTTTGATGATTTTAAAATATATTATCTCATATAGCAGTATTAATTATATTTAAAAAAAATCGACATGTGTTATATATTAACAATGTAATAGAAAATATGCAGAGTTGTGTAATGTTTCATGTACTATGCTAAACATCAGCCATTGCGGACGATAAATCTTCCGCTGACAAAAAAAAAACAAAGACTTGCTCTATTGAATACTACAAACATACCTGTTCATTTACAAGGTGCACCTGAACTAAATATTTAATTACTCTTTGATCCAGTATAAATATGCGGATCTTAATCGAGTTCGGTTCAGTACGTCCGAATTATCTTCAGGTAAGCAATATTTGATACGTAATAATTTATCTTTTTATTATTTTTATTCTCGTAAATAAGATCTGCTGATTTTCTAACATTATATCTACGACATTAAATTAGAATAATCGATACCTTTTTATAGATTTTGAGATAGAAGAGCAAATGTCATATCTCAATATATGTGCTCTCTACGTGATTTTACGAAAAATACTTTGGAACATAAATACTTTTCAGAAATAAATATTTTTATCGGCTCTCAATATAAATAATATAAGTATGCTGTCTTCTAAGCTGGGCAATAGAGCCAAGGAAACGAAACGAAAAATTAATTAAACGGAACTGTATCTCAATTTGAGATCCCAAAGTTCCACATATAAATTAATTTCGAAACTTACATATGGAGAAATAAGCGAGAAAAATATAGGTCCGAAAAGTCGCTGAAGCGGGAATCGAACCCGCGTCTTTCACTTTCCGGGCGACTGCTCTTACCAACTAAGCTATTCAGACCCTTTAATAAATACTTTTATTCGTAGTTTGTAATTAAAATAAAAATTGATGTATGTCAATCAGATTATTTTCAAATTCAAGAGAGTTTAATTTTTTTTGCGTACTGTCTCGAAAGAAAGAGACATTAGAAAGATTAAATTTACATTCATATACAGAATGTTTCAGAGCTGTCGGAAAAGTTTTTAATATCAGATTCCTGGTATCATTTGGAGACAATTTTTCCTTAGTAAAAATGTTGAGAAAACCCATCATTTTTAGCATGTTCCCAATTTTTGCTATTATGTATCTTTATAACTAAGTCTGATATTAAATTTCTATTAGAGCAAACTCTACTTAAAATTAACTAAAGAATGTAATTCTGTTAATATTTTATTTTTACAAGGTTTAGTGTCCAAAAAGCCTTTATTTTCAACTGCTTATAATTCGAAAATTATTAGCGTCTCGACATTTTCGTTGAGAAAAAATCGCCTCCGAAAGATACCAGGAATCTTCCATTAAAACCTTTTCCGCCAGTTCTGAAACATCTTGTACACAACAATCTGGATCCCGAAAGCGCGTTATCGATCACGCGTTGGTGATTTCGGAAATTCTTATTCGCGTAATATTTACTCTCCACCCAATAGCCGAATACGTCTCAGAGTGTGTCAAACATTCTCCTTAACGTCCCACGAACGTATCCACGTTCTATAGAATGCATTTTACTTGCGACGCGCAGTTAAACATTCCCTCGCGCGAGTTCCGCTTAGATTCGGATATGAGGGCAAACATAGCGCGTGCATTCGAATGCAACGGGGTTTCTCGAGGTGTGTGCAAACTTCTTCTCATCGATTCTCGCATCCTTCGCCCACAATCCTCGAGCACACCGATCCACCTCTTCACGGTAATGGAAGAAGCCGCACAAACGCGCGAAAAATCGTCTTATGTCAGTGCTCAGCGAACGCCCGCGAGACTCGCATCCTTTTCCCGCGAATTCTATGGCAGGTGTCATTTACGCGCCGACTGTGATCGAGAATGCCACGTCGACTGGCACGCGCTCGCTTGCCGAAATAATCGTCGCGCTCGATTCTGAGGCGCGTAATAGGTGATGTGGTGAACTGCCTTTGATTCGTTGCAGATACCGCGATTCTCTCGGGATGACGGCGCGAGGATCTCACGCTCGGCGGATCGGAGGTGTCTTCTTTCACGGTAAATGTTTTCTCGCTTTTGTCTTCTCGCAAATTTTCATATTCGTCGTTCGTGTGATAAATATACATTTTTTACATTAATACAATTTTCAACATTCATTTTACGCATGGTATATCTGAAGAGTGATCTCTCTTCATTTTTTAAATGTCAAAATTAACTTTTAATATTTATTTTTATATTATTTTAGTATTTAATATTTATTGTTAAATTTCGAATATTTATTTTAATATTATTTTGATATTTAATATTTATTGTTAAACTTATAATATTTATTTTAATATTATTTTAATATTTAATATTTATTGTCAAATTTATAATATTTATTTTATTTTCATATGTTTAGCTTCTCTTCTTGGAGTGATCATATTGTTGATCTGTCAAAATGTTGCCAAGGCGGATGAAGTTCCGGCGTTCTTCTTGAAAATTGCCAAGATACCAACGTTGCCACGAGTCGGCAGAAGCGGAAGATTCGAAAATTTCTTTTACAAGGCCGAAAAGCATATTCCTCGGATTGGTAGAAATATTCAAGTCGGTATATCTGCCTCTTTTTTCCTTTATTAGAATTATAATTTTATTCATATCGTCTTAAAGATTTTACTTAATAATCATATTTTAATAATACTTAATTTTTGCACTTTATTGTAGGATCAGCAAGACACTTATTCTGGTTTAAATAAAAGACGCATAGATTATCCCCCAAAAGGTTAGATCAATTGATATTTTTTTCCATATATATAATCTTTCGATATTTTTGATGTTGATTATTTTTATCGTTAGCGGAAGACTGGTCCTGGCAAAACTTTCCTCTCGCGATAGAAGGACCAAAAGAATTATGGCGAACATTAGCCGGATATTCAAGGGAGGGTGATGAGTAAGTTCGATCATAGAGAAACCGCATTATACAAAACAAAAATATGTTTGATGTCCTTTCAATTGCCATGATTTACAATACCTTGAAGAACATTACAGTTTATTACGCAAAATATATCTCTCTTATTTAAGATTATTATTTTAAAAAATATTTTTTAGTTTTATATAATTATTTTAACACATTTAGGACAATGTTAAATATTATGCCAATATTCATCAATGTTTAATTTATTTAGTATCGAGAACGAAGTTTGGCAGAGGAAGAAAAGGACTGGAACTGAAGCAGTGACCACGCAAGAAAAATAGTATAGACATAGTAATTCTTCATCGCTTCGGAAACGCTAATATCATTATGTGGTCTTTGCTGAACTATGTGGTTATGGGAAATAATCAAGAATAAATACTTAAATACAAACTGTGGTTTCGCTTCCATTCTTCTTTTTTTTGTTTGCTATATTTAGAGAATTCGTGTATCAAGATAATTCTAAATAAATAAATAATCCTTTTAATTAAGTCATAATTCTTTTTACGATATGATATGGCATTGTAGTAATAGTAATATCTACGTAAAATTTGAAAATTTGTAGAGAATAAATTAGCTGTTCAAAAGGCAGAAGTGTTCTTAATATGTTTCATGTTCAAACTTTATATATATAGTAATAGTTCTTATTAAAATTTATCTGAATAATAATAATATCTAAAAATTTTCTCAAAAATCACACAATTTGCATCTTATTTCTTTCTGATACCCTTAATTAAAATATTACAAAGTTTTTATTAAAACTGTTCATTATGATTAATTTCACATATTTTATGTAGCGTTTCAACTATTTTATTATTTCAATTATTTGTTATATATTATACTATTACATTATTTATAGATATAAACATAAAAAATGAGACCAATTTTTATAAGTATTTTTAAAAATTAAATTTTACTTAATTAAATGTGTATTTCTAAAATCATGTCTCAGTAATACTTTTATTATTTCTCAAACTTTTACCAAATTTTTGTATTTTTTACCGATTTTTATGTAATAGATTTTATAAATTAAATCATCCTATGTTTTACTTAATTAGTTCATATATGTTTTGCATCTACAATTTCTGTTTTTTATAAGATTTCCAGTACATCAAACCGATATTTACGAATAGCTTTTTCGTTGCAAGATATCTCGCGTGACAGTTGTTCGCTGAAATTACAGATGTGACTAATAACAATTTGCGATAACATTACAAAAAAATGCAACAACCAAAAGAGGATCGATATAATCGATATAATTTAGCTGAATGTATGTAATAAAATGGAACGGACAGCCTGGTGTGAGAGATGGCAATCGATATTCTCTGAACTAAACACTTCGAAAGGTAAAGCTATTCTTATTTCTTGTGACGGCAACAAACGACATTTGCATGAAACCTGATCTTGACATTTTTTTTTCAAACGCACGCAGCTTTTCGAAGCAAGAAATATATGCTCGAACGATAAAAAAGATCCCTTGCGTATATATAAATAAACGAATAAATATATGCAAGCCCTTGCCGTATGTTTTTCACAGTATTTGTCATTTTTATTTCTTACTTATTAATTATATTAGACTTATTTCTTAATTATATTATAGTACAAACACGTGTTTGTTACTGCTTCTGTGAGGTAATTAAAGAAAAAAATATTTGTCTTTATTAAATATTCAATTAATTCAATATATGTCATTTATTTCACTTCCTTCATGAAGTATGACATATGGGAGATGTGGATCACTGGAATATTTTCGTAAATGATATCTGACAAAATTTTCAACAGCAATATAAAAAATATTAATAAAAAATAATATATCTTAAAAAAAAATTGTATATTAATAGGATGTTAATGACGTTTTGCTAAAGCAAGCACAAAGATCGAAACATAAATGTGTAATTCCTAAGATTCTCTGACGAACGGCATACCTGTACATTCTCGAGGTATTATTTAATGTAAATTATACAAGATGCTGACGAGAGAGGGAGGATGATGGATGCAATAACTAGCATAGATAAATAAGAAAGTGGAAAGTGGATCTATACAGCGAGGCGTTTTCGCATGAAAGCAAACGCGTGGCCTCCTCCGGTCGTCACGATCGCTCCTTATTAGAGCCAACTTAAACCCCGTATGGAATAGAAGCGGTTATGATAATGAAGGGGTAGAATCTCTCCTTGCTCACGTGATCATTTCTAGCACATAACGATTTGCGCGTAGGTGGACTGGACCGCGATGGAAGATGATGGAATATAAGAGTCGTCCCACATCTCGAGAGATAAATGTCCCTTTGCATCTGCCGTCGATAAACTTTCTTCCGGTTCTTGTATCACGAGAAAAATCACAGTTTTAGCTTCGAGCCAAATCGATAGAACTCTTCTGAGAGAATTCCCATCATTCCTTATTTTAGCACGTTTCATATGTCAGAAGAGTATTCTTTTTTCTCTTTGAAACGCGTGTTCTTTATTTATAATATTTTATTTGTCATAAGTTTATAAAAAATACATAATATTTATATTTTTTCAAACAATTTAAATCTTAATTATTGATTTTTCTCTTTTTGACATTTTTATTTGCTTCAGCGACTTTTTTTCACTGAAGTGACAATAACATTATGCAAAATGTAAATGAGAGTAAAACAATTATTTGTTTATAATTTATAGTTTTTCTAATTTTTTAAAAAAATTTAAATCTTAATTATTGATTTTTCTCTTTTTGAATATTTTATTTGCTCAGCGACTTTTTTCTCATTAAAGTGACAGTAACATCATGCAAGATGTAAATGAGAGTAAAACAATTACTTGTTTAAAATTTATAATATTTTTGTCTAATTTTACATAATGTAAAATATATGTCGACGATGTCCAACGTTGAAGCTCAAGATGTCGCCAGTCGGAGCTCTTTGATGTATGTATTTGAAGAAGACATCACTAGGTAGCGCCATTGATCCATCAAATGTATAAGCACTATTGGTTGCTTCTCGTAACAATAAATTGTTGTAATTACAATAATTCTTGCCTTTAAAGCGATGCTTTGTGTTTAACTCGCACCGCCGCAACCGGTAATTTTAATTTATTATGCGGTAACCGCAAGGCGATTCACTCTCTTGCCACAGTGACCTAAATCTCAACAAGATCACATCGGAAGCAGAATTTTTCTCCCCTTTATCTGTCCCATCTCTCAATCTGTCTTTTCTGTATAACTTTAATTATTGCAAAATACATTTGCAGAAAGAGAGAAAAAAAATATGGACAAACAGAAGCTTTATTTAAGAATGCACAATAGATATAAGTATATCTTATAGTTGCACTTTTTTTAGCTAAATATAGCTATACGTATAGCTCTGTTTACGTTTTAAGGCAAGTATAGCTTTTAACTTGAATTGTTTTGTGATTTGATGCAACTATAGGTTCGATTATCTACAGCTAGTAGTTACTCGGTTGTAGAAAGATGCAGATTATCATGTAGTGTCTTCTCTCTCCTATCTCAGCTAGTTTTATCAACTATTCATAAAACTACATTTTATTCATAAAATTTTGTTTTTATTTATAATTTATAATTATAATTATTTTATTTATAATTTAATTTTATTGATAAAAAACATTTAATTTTTCGTAAAGATTATTATATAGATAATAACAATGATATAAAGATTGACGTGCATAAAAATACTAAATTTTTAAACACAGTCATCTTCGGCTCGACATCTTCCGCCGCAATGAAGCACTATTCAATTGTAATAATTATTCTCCCTCGCTTTTATAATAGATATATAATTCCCGAAGCGCGAGATATCCCTCTAATTAAACCCGGTGCGCGTCAATATTCCTCAAAACCGCCACATCGTCGCGCGCGCGACTTTCCAAATAATTATCCCGGGTATTATTTAATTCAGCTAATTGCGCGCCGAATATACATACATACATATACAGGGTGTTCCAAAATTATCGGACACTCTGTTAATGAGAAGACTCCTAAGATTATTTGGAGATGATTTTTGCTCAGCATCGCATTTTTTGAAATCATATATCTTTGTGACTAAGCCTTAAATTAAAATTCTATTAAAATAAACTACCTAAAATTAACTAAACAATATAGTTTTCTTAACAATTTATTTTTACAAGGCTTATTTACAAAAAAAGCTTTAATTTTCAATCGTTTACAACTCGAAAATTATTGGTGCCTGGACATTTTCGTTGAAGAAAAATCGTTTCCAAATAACCCGAGAAATTTCCCTATTAACAGAGTGTCCGATAATTTTGGGACACCCTGTATACATTCGCGGGAGCACGAACCTTTTAACAGAGAGAGAGAACATCACCCTCGCGCGCTTTTTTCCCTCTCGACGATTTTTTCGCCGACTAATCGCGCGCGATGCAACATAATTCGCACGTGTACGAAACGTCGATGTTTTCTCGCCGAGCCACGTGCGATTTCCGCGTGCGGCGATTTTTCCGCGGTCCTTTCCCCCGCGGCGCGGCATGCCTCCTATTTCGCGAGAGAGAGAGAGATGCATCATCTCTCGCGGTAAGGAGATACCTGTGTGTATACCGATTCCGCCACGACAGAGAGGCATACAGGTACGTATTATTATACGTCGTGCGCGAGAGACGCGGAGCGGCCGCGGGTTTGCACGTAGCAATTTACGGAAACCGCACGTAACGCGCGCTCTCCGAGCCGAGTCGAGCCAACAACACGAGCGAACGTTTCCACGGAGTGTTATGTAACGGATCGACGTTGAATCGACGGCCCCGGAGTAACTGTATTTTCGAAGAAGCGACCGTCGAAGCGAAATCATCGGACGCCAAAAGACGTAGCTTCAGGAATGACAGGAGAGATATTGGTAAAGCATTTTTGTACAATTATATATATTGCGATTTCTCAAACCGTACAACATTTTGGAATACATTTGAACAAAATATATTTAAACGATTTGTTTTTGTTAATAATCGATATTGTAATTTATTGAATAAATATATATATTGTATAATTTTTGAAAATTCTGTATTATAGCATCACGGAAAAAAATTAACCACTGTAATTAAATTTTAGTTGCTCTTATATTACATTTGAAATTTAGTTATGGTAGCTAATATTTTTTAGCTAAAAAATATTCACTATCGCAATTACAGGGACAACTAAAATTTAACTCTGGTGACTAATTTTTTTTATGTTTCAATACAATGAGCGTTTTAGCTTTATCCATATATTTCCGTCAGCGTAATTTGCGTCTATATTTTTGTGATTATAATTTAATCTAAACGCGTTGCATTGTAAATATAAAATGGATGTTAATGTTACTAAATCGCACATTTTAATGAAATAAAAAATGGTGACACATGGTGACAGTTTTCATATGCAATGCAAGTCATCGTTGACTTTAGATCAGCGGTCTGTACAATGCGTGAGAGGCAATTTTCTCAGTCGTATTTAGTAATCTATTCAAATGACCGATTATTACGTTTCGGCCTTGATGTTTTGCACCATTCGGGAATGAAAATGATACGTTAGAAACGCGATCTTTATAGGCGAGTGAACGTTGCAACTATTCTACTGATCTATCACATAATTGTATTTACGAAA